AATATATTAAAAAACCAGCTCATCTAATGTGTAGAAGAGATCACTAAGTACAATTCAGAAGTTGCAACTGTAAGAGAAATAGTATATATGCAGTGTATGCAGCTTACAAAAATTCATGCACTCTCTCCTTTACAAAACAATTTCAGATGCTTTTAGGCAACACYGCCACGTGAGGGAGCCAGAACAATTTTTCTAAACCTACTGAGCAGAGCATTACTTGAAGATAAGTGGAAAGCAGTTGGTTATCTAGCACAGACCAAGTCTGTTATCTAGCACAGACCTGTGTAGCACTCTCAAGACACTGAAATGTGAACTTTGTGTTTAGTAACCTTACACAAGAGCAATTTCCCTTTTCTCATACTCCAGATGAGGTTGGTACAGCCCTAAAAATGGGATTTCAGTGGGAAAGCTGCATTTGATATATTGAATTTTTTCCTTGTTGAAAGTGTTTTCACTCTTTCTCACACTTGTCTCATGTGCATCATGTCCTCAGTATATATGTCTAAAAGGTTGGGTAGAAATCTGGGTGCATCTTGAGCCACCTGCATGGCCCTGTGTAACTTTGTGCATTTTCATGTTGTACTCCTGAGAGAGAAAGTTATAAAAAAGCATGGAAATAGATATGATTGCCATTAGATTTCATACATGTATTGAGACTTTAAAGTAGGGAGCGAAATTGGTCACAGCTCCTGAAGGGTTGAGCTGGATTCTGCATGTGCATTCCAAGTTCTCAGAATGCCCRTTTCTACCTCTTAGCCCATGTAAGTATGGTGTTAGCAGCTGCTTCTAAGAACTAGTTGACTTAAACATGCTCCCTTTCAAGATGTTGCAGAGCCACATTGCCACCATGTGCCTTGTACTGGGTCTGCAGGTACCATCTTTTACATGGAGCTTGAAAACAGTCTTCTGATCTTTTAAAGACCCAAGTAATGCTTGTCTAAATATACAGCTGATTATCTTGGAGTTATTAAGGACAAAACCAAACAGTTAGGGTGACTGTATCTATAGCTGAATTGCCCCTAGTTTTTATCTGATGTGTATGATTCACTTCTTTTACATATGCTGCTGCATGTAACAGATGTTTTGTATCAAGTATGCTATTCCACATCCAGATTTTTAACCAGTCCTTCTTGGTTCACAGGGTTTTCAGTGAATGCTTCATCAGAGCGGCTCAATATGGGAGAAATAGAGACTTTGGAAGACTACTGAGCATGTGCAAATCAACTGGCTTTTCCTGCATCTGTTAACCATGGATTCTCTGTTTGGACACCGTACTCTCCACCTTGTGCTGTTCTTTGCCTCGCAGTGAATCACAGGATCAATCATCTCAGGCTGCTTCCTCTGGCCCCAGCAAACCCTTTCTGCCCAGGATTGCACGGCATTGTTCCTACTGTCAGCCCAGTCAAGTGGACTTTGTTCAGAGCTCCGGGAGGGTGGGATTTAGGATTTGTTCACAACAAGGCTGAACTGGGCAGCAAGCTTTCACTGTGCTGTGATTCCTTCTGCTGACATACCTGGAAAAAAAAAATCAGTTGGGATTCTGCAAACCATTGCTTCCTTCTCCTGGTTACTCTTACCACATCCAACGCGTGCAGTCATATGGAGAGAGAGAGATTGAGAGTTTGTGGTTAACAGATGTTGGTCAAAACCAAAATGCCACACAGATACTGATTTGGCTGCTCCGTCAGGGCAAGAGGTGCTCTCCCGGCCAGGAGATGCATTCATAAGCTACCCTTAGAACTGGCAACAGCAGGAGAGGGGCGGTGGTGGGCACAGTTTAGCTTGGGTTGGTTTGAAGTTGCACACCCCCTGCCAGCCCTTCTCAGCACATTATTTTTGGAGGGAAAGCTCGAGTCTGTCTTTATTAGGTGGTGATGCTGAAGCTGGTGGAGTTCCTGACGACATACTCCAGGCATCCTGGACAAGTGGGGAGTTCTGCTCTGGAAAAAGGGGGATGGCATCTCTTCTTTCAGGTTGAATTTACCCCTTAAATACTACCTTCAGAGGGTTAGGACCAGTTTATTTTACRCTCTTTTCCTGCAATTTTGTCTCGTTTAAGAGACGGTGGGATCTTTACAGTGTGGATCTGTAGTCTCTGGAGGGGGTGAACCCTGGCTTTCAGAAACGTGCCAGCAGCCTCAGCTGGTTGTCACTTGAAGCAGTGCTTAGGTATCAAGCAGAGATGCCCTTTTGCCGTGAAGAGAGACACTGGAAGACGAAGCTTTGTGCAATGATGGCCCTGCTTATCTTCTACACCTTAAAGTACTTCACGCACCTTCACTGGGATCCATAACCTCTAAGTTGTCATGGAGTCATAACCTTCCTCTCTCACCGAAAGATTAACATCGCCTTCCCTGCTCCACCTACCCACCCACCCCCATGCACACGCCACAAAAGACAGAGAAGGAGAACTGCCAAATGCACTTAGTTTGAACCCCCTAATCCCATCTCCCGTCCCCAGAGGGGTGTAATCTGCGAAGGGAAATACGCTGCAGTTTTGGTGGAGTTGTATAAAGGTGTCTGTTGTTCTGTCATCACTGCCTAAAGAAAACAGTTCGAGTTGCTCAAGAGCAGTTTGGCTTTGGATTTTATTTTGTTTGGTTTATTCATTTTTTTGGGGTCACCTTCCCCTTCTCCTCCTCTCTCTTCCCCCTGCCCCCAAACATGTACAGTAACTATACAGAGACTGCTGCAGACTTGTATATAGTTTTTGGATCCAATAGCATGGAGAGACTTGGAACTGTTGCAAATCTGGTCTCCCTGTCTCCTTTGCTTTGTAAATTCATAAAAGGGGGAAGAGGGGTAGTTAAAAATGTTTACAAAACTTTAAACTCCCTCTGAACTTTTGCCAGTGTGAGGGGGGAAAGAGAGAACTTAAATAAAACCTGGTTGTATTATATCTGAGAGAAAGCTTTCTGCTTGCTTTTGTCAAAGCTGAGTTTTGAGATAATTCCTGGTGCTAAAACTCACCCAGAACTCGACTTGCATCAGTTTCCATCAAGAAACAGCAAGCAAATACATAGGATGTGGAACAACAACTGCTGCTTTATTTCTTCCCTGGTGCGGATACYAGTTGATTTTTCTACTTGATAATTTTAGAGTTCAAATAAACACCAGTAAGTTGAGATGGGAAAATTCTAACAAGAAAGCTTTAATTTTCCTCTGCTCTCTGTAGAGAAACGTGTGCATTCACTCTGGTGCTGTTTATGCAGGGGAGATCAAGCCATGGCTGGTTTTCTCTTAATACAAACACTCGGCCGCAGAGCCTCCTTTGCCAGTCAGTGCCCACCCCACCCACCCCAATTCACTGCCCTAAATGAGGGGTTTTATTTCTCCCCTCAGCCTAAAGTCCACATGGATACCTTGTAAGTTCCCCTTTTTAGACTTATTTTCTGTTTTTTTCTACTTGTTTTTTTTTTTTTTTTTTTTTTTTTTTTTTTTTTTTTTTTTTTTTTTTTTTTTTTTTTTTTTTTTTGTGTGGAAAATCTCAGTTAAAGTGATAAATGTCCTGCTATTCACATGACCACAGAAATTAAGTATGCTGTGGCCTAACTTACATGGTACTCTTGCATGATGTTTAGCTGATGTCTGAAAGAGAAGTTTGTGTTTAGGCTGATAGCCTGAGTTGGTTTTAATATCTTCTTTTTTTAGCATATAAGGTGTGTGGTTCCTAAGTGCTTTCTCTTTTCTTAGTGGTATGATCTAATTTCTGCAAGCTAATTTTGGACTCGTCTCTACCATGTAAGAAATACACAAAAGCCTGTTMGTTTCCAGCTCAGCTGGGGAGCAGGAAAGGAACAGCTCTTCAATTGCTAAATGAAAATGCAGAAATGCAAGCAGGGAAAATGTGCAATAATTTGTGAAACCCCAGGGACCTCACTCAGCTCCTGAGTTTGTAGATAATGGACCAGTGGGGAAGATACTGTTCTTAATACTGAAAGATTCTGCTTTCTGTRTTTAGTATGAAGGTAAGGTGGTGGCATGTGCAGATTGTGTGCTCAGGTGACTTGTTTACCTTCTGTGACAAACGGGACCCTTTTCTGCAGCAAGATTTGTTTGGATCAGTAGGTATGGGGAAAAAAGGGGCTCCAAAAAGCAAAGCAAACTCTCAGCAGAAAAATTTGAATCTGAAATTTGTGACAAAACTACTTGTGTCATAAAGAACTGACATTGGGGTGTTTTGTACTTCATTGCATGATGGAAAACCATGAAGTATTTCAYCATCATATCAGCTTCACAATACAAAACTTGTTCTGTGCCCATCAGCTGGAGCGTTCCCCATTTTATCCACCTTGTCCTTTCCCCAGTCTCTGTTACTACAAATAAGATTTGAAACAAACCTGGGTTTTCTGTGTTGTGAACTGTCATGAGCCCCTGTGGCAGGTAGGGATGGAGTGGTGGAGGTGGTGTCTGAGCAGTTGGGATCCGAGAAGGATGCTGGCCTTGCCTGCCAAAGGCAATTCTCYGCAACGTTTGGAGACTTTTGACAGCAGTTCTGAGAGCACCCATGRTTCTCAGGCCAGCTCTTTAAGTATTCCACCCAGGAGCAAGAATGCCATGGAGCTGCTCTGGCTCTGAGTCAGAGCATTTTAGCCTCGSAAGATTAAAGCTCCTGGTCTTTTCTGTCCCTACCCTGCAATGCTCTGCCRGCCTGCACAGTGAGGGAGAGCAGAGCCCTGGGATGGGCTGCCTGCTCTCAGGGTGAACTGCCCCCATGGCTCCTGTGTTCTTTCCTGTGCCTCGGGATGGCAGCCCATATTGGAAGGCGTTCCAGGAGCACTCTCATGGCCTCTGGGAAGGGCTCACCAACAACTGCTCGTGTGTGCAGTGGCCTGGCAGGGTCCTGACGGCTCTCCTCAGCTGCCTGTGGGGTTTTAGGAAAAAGTTTGGGAGGGTGGAGCTACCTTCAGGAGGAGGTGTGCTCCTGGAGCCAGAGCGAGGGAGGCTCTGCTGGACTGCACTCTCTACACACACTTGCAGTTGAGAAGAACTTTTTTTTTTCTTCTTTTTTTTTTAACCTGACTGGACAAAATTTTTATTATACCAGTGAGATTTCCAAGTTATTTTGTACCTTGAAGAGTTTAAGGATTCCTGGCAACGCTTYTCCTGAGGGAAGCCATGCCTTACCACCGAGTCCTTCACCTGGTCGTGCTAGCAGTGTGCAGCATCCTGGTCCCTGCTGTGCTGGCAGGTAAGGAGCTTTGTTTGCATTTAAAGCCCAAAAGCATCCGAGATCCTTGGCTACAGTACCTCTCTCCTCCCTCCCCTGGTAACATTCATAAGTATGTATTGAATTAGAATTAATTAATGGAAACTAACTTTGGTGGCTGCTGGTGAGTAAGAATATATTCTCAGTGGAGAAAATCCATTGTAACTCTGCAGAGCAGCAGTAGCACCTGCATGAGCATTGGTGGCTGGGGGACRCATCAGTCAGCAGGAGATGGAAAACCTCTCAGCAGCTGATGAGGCAGGCTCTCCCTTAAGCTTTTAATGGCAGGAAGAAGTTAAAATTATGGAAAGAAACATTTTTCTCTGGCTAAAGCATGTATGCCAGTTCCTGGTTCCGTCTGTGCTCTCTATTGCAGCGGAGTGTAACATCTGCTGTGGGCAGAAATAGGGATGTGCCATGAAAACCTCAGTCCAAAGCCAAGGTGYACATCCTTACGGGGTCACTGGAGCTGGGGAACGAGGCAGTGCTGGGAAGGTGCCTTGCCCTGATGTGTGTGCACTGAGGTGATGGGGGGAAGAAGAATAGGAGAGATGTTTGTGTAAGGCACTATATTTCTGGTGACTTACTAATTTCAGCCTTATCTGTTCCTGGCTTCAGCAGAGCTGTGCTGGCTGCAGGGAGCCGAGGGCACAGGCAGCTTCAAAGGCTGAAGGTCTGTGGTGGGTTTTACAGCTGGGGAAAAACTTGACTTCTAAACCGATTGCACTGATGGGCTCTGAGTGTACAGGTGGAAACTCCTATGGGGAACTGTTCCCCCAAAGCCTTTCTTTCAGTGGAGGTGAGGCTGAAGAGGYAGCTGGGGCCAAGATAGCAGGCCGGAGCACAGTGTTTGTTTTCCTGTATTTCTGTCCTTCCTTCCAAGACCTGGAGCGATGTTGTTTTGCAGTTCCCTCCCAATTTTTTCTGAGCATTTTGCCTTGCAGAGATATCCTGGCCAGTTGCCTAACAGATTAAATTATGAAATTATTTCTTTTTAAAGTAGCTTTCATATGGGTAGGGGAATTTACTACTGTGCCTGGCAGGAACATCTGTGGTGCAGGAGTAAAATTACTGGAGCTGGTATCCTCTCCTTCTAGAATACCTTCTTTCTGGGAAACCTAAGAAATGGGCACTAAAAAGTGGGGATTTTCCTTCTCAAATGATGAGTTTTTTTGTACAATGGAACATTAATCACTAGCAGTTTCCATTTGTGCCTTGCTCTTGCTCTCAGCAGTGACCATGCTCTTCCCCTGTGCCAGGTAAGATCTTTTCTTACTTATTAACARTATTTCACTCTGCAGGAAGTGATTAATTTCCAGTGAGAATTCAATCTGCTTCCTCTCTGAGCTGKGATCTCTTCTATGCTGTTTTAAATTTCCACTATTTGGTGCATGTTCTCTGCTCCCCTGCTTGCCAGCTTTTCCATGCTCTGGCATTGCCGCTGTGGTTTGTGCCTGGTGCTGCCTCCCTGTGTCGCTTTGTTCCCTGTGAAATTCTCCCATTTGCCTGTTCCCGTTATAGGGCGAGTCAGCCTCATGCAGTGAGGCTTGAAGGGCTTAGTAGTGGGGAGTGCAATGTTCAGATCTTGGGCTGTAGGAGAGATTCCATGCTTTCTCTGCAGTGTTTCAGAGACTTCAAGCCTCTTTAACATGTTGTTCCTTGCTCTCTCAGAGAGGACAGGAGGAAACCAGCCTGGACAGTAAGCCATCCCAGGAGCATGATTCTCTGCTGCATTAGACATGGAGAGCTCCTGCCCCCTACACAGGCACTTTGAGGGACAGTGGAACTTTTTCTGCCTTTTACTCCAATTAGAAAAGGAAATTTCCTGCCTGGCACAGATAAAGAGGGGAAGGGCAAACAGACAGCCCCTCTGGTCTSTGCACATCCACACACGGCCCTGCCTTTCTGTAAACAAGTTTACTTAGCATCCATCAGAACCGCAGCTCCGCGCTGCTGCACAGGGAGTTCCCTGCCTTGCAAGCCACAGGCTGCCCTTTGTGCCTCTGATGAAGGCCTCCTTTCAGCCCTGCTCTGGCCCTATGCCTGTCAAGGCCAACTGGGGCTGGACAGCCCCTTGCTGGCCTTGGAGTTCACCAGCCRCTGCTCTTTCATCTCAGCACCTCTGACTCTCCCCAGCAGAACCCTCCAGGGTGGGCAGAGTGGGTTCTGACTTGGGGAGGGCTGCAGCTTGTGCTGGCCATGTAGACCCCAGGTCCAGGATGAGTTTCCTCTCCCTGTTGACTGCTTGCCCAGCTGGTCTGGTTTCCTGGACAGCATGGTCAGGGCCCTGSAGCTGGGGAAAGTGTGAACTTCTCTAAGTTACTGAGCTCTTTCCAACATCCCAYTTGTCAAAGACAGGGAAACAACCAAGCACATCTTTAACCCCCTTTGTTTGCATCATCTGGGTGCAACAGGGAGCAGCCAGCTCAAGGACCTGTGACAAACCTAAGCCTTCTCTTTCTCCCAGCCTAAGTGACACGTAGGCATAGAGCACCGGATTGTGAAGAGCTGATTTTTTTTTCTTCTATCAGCAAACCCAGCTTCAATTTCTATAATGGATTCAGAGCTCCAAGTGAAGTGGAAGTTAGTAGAAAGCCTTTGCAAGGTGTTGGCTTCTGAACGTGTGTATATTTGGTATTTAAATTCATAYGTGGGTTCATGAGTTTGTTTTGAGCTACTGTGGAAATATGTAACACTGCAGTACACATSAGAGTGAGTCTGGGGGAAAGAAAACAGCAGAGTACATGTGCTAAAGGAAAACACAGGAGAGCACCTTAACTAAGGACATCTTTCTGTAGCAGCTTGTGTGTCTTTGTTTTCAACTACAGGCGAATAGAAGATTTTTTAGGCAGTTTTTAAAAGCTTAAGTACTAGAACGTGAGTTCCAGTAAATAGGGTTTTTTTTTGGCAAATTTTGGGGAAAGATGTGGTTGTTCCAGCAGATCTGTCCAGACTTGAACCAGGACATTTTAAGCCATTACTCAACCTTGCTCTGCTCCAACACTCCCTATGAATTTCTGACGCTGGTATCAGCTCCTGAATCTAGGTTGCAAGTGGAGAGTGAGGACRATGAGGTGCTGAAGCCAGCTTGTCTGAGGATGAGTCTTGGCCACTGGTGTGTGACCTCTAGGGACAATAATGTGACATAGCCACATCTGCTTACTTTAAGGTCTTAGAGTCAGCCTGTGAGGAGCGTCTCATTCCTTCAGATTTGTTGTTCTTCCCCTGGGGCTGTCATTTGTAGAGACTCTTCCAATCTTACTTTTCAGTCACCAAGTACCTGGGGCACGCACTGGCTACCATGCCATTGTGCTGTTAGGTTACCCCACCTTTGTCTTTCTGAGCATGAAAAGATCAGTTTTATCAAGTTGCCTTYATCATCATGCCCTCTAGACCTTTCTATATCCCGTATGTCTGGGTTCCCACTGGCCCCTGCATCACTTGGAAAACTCATCATGTATTTATAGTAATTCTGGTATTTGCTTCCTATTTCCTCACCTCAGTTATAACTAACCTGTGCTGGGGAGAGGGAGAAGACATAATGCAGGCAGAGAGATTTCCCTAAAATAAGACAATTTGTAGTATTTGTGCGGGGAGGAAGAATTGCCATCATCCACCTGGCCTTCGGCAGAGCACTGTAATACTTTTGTCCAGTTCCATCACCAGTAAAAACCCAATAAGATTATTGCACGTCTTTCTCCTAAGTGTTCTCCAGCTGTATTTCTCATGAAAAGGCTTTTAYGGTTGCCCTCAGCTTGTGCTTCAGTGCTGAGCCAGGGCTAATGATGGGAAAGAGCTCATTTGTGCCAGGGGCTGGAGGTTTCCCTCCCTCCAGAGCAGCTGGCACTGAGGCACAGAGCCCTGGCAGTGGTGGTCACTCGTGTGCCTCAGCAGCCTGACAGTCCCTCCATGTGCCCCCAGCCACCCCTGCCAAGGCCCTCCAGGGCAAATAAACCATGTGAGTGCAGCACAGGCCTTTTCTAGAGCTAGGACTGGTCCTGATACTGATGGCAGCTCACCTAATGCATGGCTCTCTCCCAGATGCTGAACATCTGGTCTTGTGATGGATAGGTGTTTTGAGCATGTTTCTTGCTAGTTCATTTTTGCAAAGCTCTTGGGTAAACAGGAAAGCCATGCATTACCTTACCTTTGATATTTAGGTTCCAGCTTTTGGTTGCATTCTCACCCTGGAGATGGCAGTGTGTTTGGGTGTTCTTACAAGTTAAAGATGTTYGTTCCTGCCCCATGGCCCTGGAGCTTCCCTGTAACTTGTCCTTTCCCTGGAAAAGGCTGCTGCGGGGCCCAGAACTATCACTCGGCATTTGTTGAGGTTCACAGGCTGTATCCTGCCTGCCACAGTCAGGATGACAGTGACTRTGTGGGTGGGCAGACCTGGCCACTCTGGTGCTGCTTTCCCTGTAGATCATGTTTAGARTCCTGGTCTCCTTCCTGCTCATGCACAGAGAAACTGAGCCTGGGAGGAGAAAGACTTTGGTGGTCACCCAAGACACAGGCTGCAGGGCAGAGAATCTCCTGAACTGGTTCCCCTGCCCGTACTTGAGGCCTCTCCAGACTCCCTCCAGCAGGTGACTGGAAAAGGCCCTCATATCTYACTTGGAGACATGAGACTTTATTAACAGTGTGTTGGGTTTTGGCACCCRACACAAACTCTGTCCTTCCCATCACTTTTCTTGCTTTTACTAGGAGACTGAGATGGGATTGTGGYATTTGGTGTGATCCATTAGAGATCTGCCATTCCCAGCCAGCGGCAGCATGGCTGATGCTCACTGGGACTATCATGGGAGCAGSTGTGACACCTCTGCTTGTTAAAGAAACCTGCTGGATGCATGAGGATAGTTAGATGGGTGCTTTGGCCTCTCAGCTGGGCAGCAGTGCAGGCATGTGAGGACATGAGCTTTTGGGTTAGGAAGGAAAATCAGGCATGGAGAAAACAGTGCTGGTTATGAGCAGATGTTTTCCTGGGCTGCAGCARTGGGCTCTGGAGGAACCTGCCTCTYGTTTTGTATCCCTCCCCACTCCATGTGCCTGTGGCAGGGCCCTTGGCATCTGCTCCAGCATCATCAAGGGCAGGAGCTGAGGAGGGGACCAGCAGTGAGCCCTGGCTCCCGGCAAGGCRAGGCTATGGGTATTTCACTTGATGGATGATCAGGAACCCGCTGCTGCCTCTTGAGTTCCCAGCTGTTCTGAGGCACCAGACATGACTGAATGGGTTGTGTTTCCTTGGGCTTAGGCACCATTAGGATAAAACCACAARAGCTCGGGACAGTAAATGCGTATTCAGCACACTCTGTCCTTTCTGTGCAGGTGAACTGAACACGTGTGTCAGTCGGATGAGGGGAATTRACAAAATACATATCCAGCAGCCATCCTTCAAAAAATCATGGAGATCATAAACAAATTAGACTGTTCCCTCTRTATCTGGCTCTCAAAAATAAGCTCCCTGCCTTGCTTAGAGAGATTTGCAATAAATTTTCCAGGAATTAGATGCACTGAGGAAAGACTTTCTGGCACCTCTGGGCCTGGTGGCACCTATGGTCCTTTGCCCTGTGGTTGAAAGGGATAGTGCTCCCTCCTCATGCCTTTGAGAGTGGGGATTGGGAAGGCCCAGGTTGTACATTGTCCCTGGATCTGTTATACATTATTTGAGCTAACACCACTCCCTGGTCACAAGCAAGGTGTATGCCCAGCTCTGGARAGAAAAGACATTCTTGGGAGAGGAAGCAATGCTATCCTACCAGTACTATGTTCCTCTGCCGGTGGGGATAGTGTGGCAGTGTTGGTTCTGGTCCATGGGGTATTGACACAGTCAGGAAGGTCACAGCTAGAGTGTGGCTCTTCTGTATGGAGTCTCTCCCTTACAAAAGCAGCCTGGAACCAGGGCTTCCCAAAGCATTCAGTATGTTTGGTTTCTTCCTAAACCAACAGCTTCCCCATGCCACTACTGCCAGCTAAACAGCCYAGCTCTGCTCATTCTTGCCTTTGTTGTTCTCACTACATTTGGTCACTGAATTCTGTATTTCCTCCTGCTTCATCCTCGGTAGTGAAGCCACATGCTTTAAAGAAGAGAGGTTCACTGGAAATGGCAGTTCTTGAAAGAGACACAGGATGGAATATGAGTCTTCAGCTCTGCTGGTTAGTTTTGCAGCACAGGTTGGGAAGGGTCCTGCAAAGGCTCAAATGTTTGTGGAAAGCCYTCATGGAATACAAACCTCTGTGTGCTTGTTCTGGGGAGCCGAGATGCCACCTCTGATGCAGAGACCACCGTGTGCCAAGTGTGTGAGGACAGGGTGTTCTCTGCTACACCTGGCTTCAGCGAGTRCTGGTGTCCCTGCCTGGCCTAACTGGCACAGGCTGTACACTGGGGACTTTCTTGTCTCTCTCGGTGCTTGTTGGGCTGGAATTAAACCTGGCAGCTGTCTCGCTGGACAYCCAGTATATTTTCTGTCCGTAGAAAGAACTTCCAAAACAAGTCTAGAACTTCATTGTGTTCGTAAGATTGTGGGCAGCTTGGAATAGCTCTGGGGATGGTGGCAGCTACTCTTTCATGCAAGCCCTGCAGTAAGTTCTTGGTGGATTTGCATAGGCAGGAAAGGTGAGTGTTTTGGCCTTCCTGTTCCAGGGAGGGATCTCAAGGGAGAACAGAGTGTGATGGAGCCCGTTAGTGAGGATTCTTTGTTCTCCTCCCACAGTGCTGCCTGTTTACAGGAGGCAAGGAGGGCTCCAGGCACTTGAAGCTGGGGCTGGCATTGCCAAGATGCGCTGCTGCCACCTCTCTTCCTGGGCCACAGAGAGCCTGGGACAACTCTTCAAGTTTCCCAAGGTTCACATGCCAGAGTTGGAGTGCCTGGGGATACCTCTGTGCCTTGCCCTAGGGAGCCCAGGCTGCTTGCTCCAGCTCCTGACACCCTCTTTCCTGGTCGTGATAAGAATTTTGTCAGTTCAGGTGGGCCCTGGCAATGGGTGTTGYTCGTTTCTCTCCCCACTGCTTTTTYCCCCATCCCAGTGCAACATTCCCAGCGGTTTCAGCAAGGAGCTGTGGAATGTCTCCTGCTCCTGCCAGAGCCCACCTGAACAAAGTCAGGCATTGACAGGGAGTGCTCTGTGAGCCACACACAGACAGGGAGGGCTCTTTGGCTTGTTCCCTGACCTGCGGCAGGAAGGAATAACAGGAGACGAGTGGTAACATTAAACAGAGCCTGGCCTGGCTTTCATCTCCCTGGCATGGCAGGGGTGCAGCAGAGGGAAGTCAAGGCTCTGGGGTCCTGTCTGGGGGAGCCATGTCCTATGCTATGCCAGCACCTTGGGCATCCTGCAGTGCACAGGCGGGTGGTGCAGGACAGAAGGGCCCTGACATGTTGTGAATTTGGCCAGCCCAGGTGGCCTGGTGGCCTCTGCCTGTTGACAGTGTGACAGCCCCTCTCAGCTCAGTCCCGTAGGCACCCACGAGTCAACCAGCTGTGGATGTTCATGTGGAGCCTGTTTGTGCTTGAGGAGAGGTCACAGGGTGGCAGGGGACTTCCCTTTGTCCTGTGTGTGCTGTGTGTGCGCTAGGTTGCTACAAAAGCATTGCCTTTGGCTGCTCTGAGTGTGGCTGTTGAGCAGAGGTGATGCCCCCTCTGAGGATCACACCTGGGAGGGTTCTCAGCCCTCGGGCCACCCTTGACCCGCCCCAGAGCCACCTGGGGCWCCTGGCAGGTAGCTGGAGCCCTGGGACCCGCTGAGCTGTGGTTGTCACTAGTAGGCTGACCGGGCCCCCATGCCCTGGGTGCTTGTCTTCCAGCAGAGTACCCGCAGGGCCCGGTCCCCACCCTCTGGAACGAGCCGCCCGAGCTGCCCTCCGGAGCCGGCCCCTTCGACGCTGCTGCCACCACCCCCCGGCTGTCGGACGCCACTGCCTTCCTCCCGTACACCTCCGAGCTGGAGCCCGAGGACACCACCCACCTGCACCGGCTGGAGGCCGGGGACAGTGAGTGCCTGCCACAGGGACTGCCCGCGGCTCGCTCCCGCAGCCGCCTGCGATGTGCTCGGGGTGGATTTGCACCTTGTGGGCCTGTCACCTCCCGGGAGGGGTTAAAGCCACACTGCTGAGGAGGGGGAGGGTTGCCTGTATTGCCTGCTCGTGGAACCTTCCCTGCTGAAAAGCCTCTGCTGCAGAGCTCTTGCCAGCTCCAAGATGGCTCCAAGACCTTTCTTCCTGCCCCGGGTCTGACCTGTCATGGCAGGCACCTGCCCTGAAAAGCCCCGAGTGCAGGTAGGGCTCTCGGGGACAGTGTGCCTGGAGCTGCCTGAACAGCAAGCAAGAGTGCCTTTGCTGGCTCGTGGCTGTTGATGGGCAGCAACCACCAGTTGATGTGGTCCTGTCACAAGCAAAGCAGCTCTGCCAGTGTGGGTATTAGCAGGAAAACTGGGCATTACCAACCCAGTGTGTGGCAGCTGTCCTTGTCGCTGGGACCTGGCTGAGGTGGTGGTGGCTGGCTACAGCTGCCTGCTCCAAGGTACACAGGACCACACTTGAGCTGTGTGAGGGCATGGGACGTGGCCTGTGCAGAGAACTCTGGGACAAATGTGTGGCCCGCTGCCTGGGGACATACTGGATGTGGGGTGATCCTTGCAGCCCTCCCGTCTGGGCCGCCACTGCCTCTGCTAATCTCACACCTTGTTTTCTGTCCCTGCAGGCTCACTGGGGCCTGGAGCTATCGGTGCCATTGTCATCGCCTCCCTCCTAGGTACGTCTGTGCTTGTGGCCTTGGTCGTCATCACCCTGAGAAAGTTCTCAGCCTCCTGAATTTAATAAAAGATTTTTCTGTTACACAACCAGCCTGCCTCTAGCCCTCAACTGTTACTGTTCTGTCTGCCTGTGGCCCTGGCAGAAATGGTGCCACGGATCCAGGAAAAGCACTGCAGCCCATTTGCTGGGCAGCCAGGCTGCACCAAGTGCTCATCACCCTTGGTGTGTGTCTGTCTCCTGGTTGACACAGATCTGGCGGGGCCTGTCAATCCTGCTCAGGAGGAACCTGTGGCAGTGAGTGGTTTTGAGCTGGGAGCTCAAAAGGGCCCTTCTGGATCTAGTCTGCACAGCTTTTCTAGGGAAGGCTTGTTCATTGGTGTAAGCCACCCAAGTTCACGTTCAACCACATTTTCACTCACTCCTTTTGGGCCAGTTGCACTGGAAGGTACTGGGGAGAGGAGATGTGGTCAGGAGGAAGGAGACACACAGGCRTTTTGGCACTGGCTTGCTCAGTTACATTTTATCACACAGAAAAACAAAACAACAAGAAATTCCCCTCAGTATGCTGAGGCAGCCTGGCAAGGGCTGGGGGCTCCAGCCCGTGCTTGTGGGCCCCAGGCCTGGCCCTGTACAACACTGGAGACCACTAAGATGGAGGCGTGCAGGGCTGGGTCTGAGGGAATAACACTGGATGGTGTTTGGCACCTGGAAAGGGCACAGCCTGTGCCTGGCGTCYGGAGTCCTGTGGAGTCACAGCAGAGCAGGAGGGCCTGGAGCAATGTCAGGGCTTGGTGGTGGGTGACAGGACAGGACACAGCAGCACTGAGCCCCTCTTCCTGGAGAAGTGCAGCGAGGAGCTGGCATCCTGGCACTGGGGAAGTGGTGAAACATCTGACAGGCAAGGAGCATTTCTGTGCCATGAGAAACATGTCAGGCAGATATGTGAACCTGCAGGGCCTGGGCTGGACTGGGCTGGCTGCTGGGCTGCAAAGCTGGACCATATGGTGATTTCTCAGGTCATTTTAAGGACTTCTTAGAGCTAGAGCTCTTTTGGGGTTCACACTAGTGAATCTGTGGCTATTGCAAGATCTGAATCCTGAGCTTGATGTTTGGTTGTCTCAGAACACTTGACTCTGTGGGGGTGCTGCTCAGGGACCTGGCTTGGCGTGTCCCCATTAAATTTGCCCAATGCACTAAACTGGAGGCTGCAAGTCCTTCCTGACTGAGCTCTGGAGTTGGACAGTGACTGGGAACTTCTAACTAGTGTGAACTTCCCACAGGTGGCCAAGGCAGCACAGCCTGCTGGCTGTTGTCACATGCTAATGTGGTGGCATTGCTCTGGGCCCGGTTGAAGAACGCCTTCTCTCCCCCTTCACTACTGTGTCTTTCACCATTTTGGTCCTGGAGCCTGGCTCTGGGCTAGGTGTCCCAGGTCTGTGGTGTCAGTAGGGACAGCCCTGGAAACCCTCTCATCTGTGTTTGGCCTTATACTGCACACGCCACGTGGTCCAAAGAGCAGCTCTGGACCCTCCCTTTGCAGCTTCCCACAAAGCGCTCTGCTTTGTCCTCATGCTGCTGCTGGTGTGGCTGTGCTCCTCACCTCTGTGCTGAGGCTGCTGTGTGGCACCTTCAGCAGCTGCTCTCCCTCCCCTTTCTGAGCACAGCCATGCATGGCCAAAGCATACATCAGCACAGGCTRCAGTGCCTGGAAGATAATCCTTTGCGTTGTTACACAAAGGTGCCAAATAACCTAATGGACACTGGCCACAGCCTCCAGCCTGTGGCTGAGGCCCTCAGCCACGTGTGGGGCAGTTGAAGAGCAGATGGCTGCTGTGGGTCCGTCCCCTACCTGCTCTCAGTGCTGTGTCCAGGTTCCATGYGCTGCTCAGTGCCACAGCTGGAAGGAGTGATAAGCCGGCTCTGCCGGCCGCAGGGCTCGCATATATACACGGAGGTGAGTATGTACAGGGAGGCTGGTGGGGCGGGTTATGAGCATGCAGGCAGCAGTGGCTGGGCCTCCTAGGGCACACAGGACAGCAGCTCCCAGGTAAGGTCACTCGCCTGCTGCATGGCAGCTGGGGCTGCTGGTGCTCCCATGGTCTGTGTGGTGTGCGAGATGACATTGGCACGGCCACCCCTGCTCTGGCCTCAGCAGCAGGGAGTAGCAAAGATCTTGAGTRCAAGATCAATTGGAAAAGGCCACAATGCCAGGGTTCTGCGGTGGCCCTGCAGAAGGAGGCAGGCTGCGGRAGAGGGGGTTGAGCCATGGAACAGGGTCCAGACATGCTTTGAGCCTGTCAGGCAGGCATGGGTCAGGGCTGGCAAGGCTGGGTTTCTGCTGGAGCAGAGCTGGGTGTGGAGCACTGCAGAGCATTTGACTGGAAGCAGATCGAGGGTTTGCTTGTGGGAATGAGCCCCACAGCTTCACAGGACTAGGGTGGTGGAGGTCCTGGGGCTCATCCCAGCCTGTTGCAAATGAGCTCTGAGAGACAGAGAGACTGCTCCTTGACCTCGGTTTTACCCCTCTGCGATGCGGTGTGTTCGGAGCACTCCAGATGTGGAAGGTAGCAATGACCTGAAAGTGCTCAAAATGGCAGATTAATTGCTCAGTGATGTTTGTGGCCATTACCTTTCCCAAGCAGCCTGAGCYTGTCCCAGCCAGCACATGTGCAGGGAATGGGGCTCAGCTGGCCAGAACCCGGTGGCCTTCAGGCAGTGTCCGTTGAGCTCGTGCTCTTTGGGGCTTTACAGAACACTTGGAAATGGGTTATTTACAGTTTAAAGCGTTGATCTCCAAGACAGGACCAGTGCTTCTGGAGGGCCTAGGAGCAACAGTCTGTTTGTTCATGGGTGTCTGTGCCTCATCCAGTATGCCAGGTCCCCCACAGTGTCCCATAGATGCCACATCCTCCCAGCGGGCAGCCTGTTTCCTGCCCCTCTGAGGCACTCCAGATGCTTGGGGATGCTGGCAGTCATTGGCGGTTTCTGCTGCCCAGTTTCCTTCTCTGACTGTCATCAGACTTGTGCACGCGGAAACACTCCTTCAGGTTCTGGGCTCGGATTTTGGGGTTCAGGATCTCCTCCCCCATAGAACTGGGGAACCAGCCTCTCTCCTGGTCATGAAGACGTTCCCCAAATATCCAGCCTGAGCAGAGACAGAGACAGGCATAAGTGGGGAAGGACTGGGCCTTTCTCCTGCACTGGGACAGTTGTGCTAGAAAGAGCCACTGGAGCTGGCAGAGTTTTCTGAAAGCTACTCAGAGGCTGTGCTGTAGCAGACACAAGTTGTCTATCCAGTAAGAAGGCCTGCTCACCTAACAGCACCGTGTGAGAACAACTGAATGAAGGGATGCCAGCAGAAAGCAGTCACTGCTGCCACCAAGMACCCTCTGCTGCCCCTGGAGCCACAAGAGTGGTCCACAACAGAGACCCAGCATGACTGAGACCACCAGCTACAAGAGTGCCCCAGAGGGCAGGACTGGGTGGCTGTGAAGCATCATGAAGGTAAAGACAGCACTGGGTTGAATCTGGGGTGGTTGTGCCAGCTCTACCATGGTCCACAGCTGGTGCTGGGACAGCTGCGCCAGTGTTGCCACAGCTGAGGCAACCTGGATTGGCTGTTCAGAGAAGGCAGTAGCTTCCTTCTCTGGCTGTGATGCTGATGCTAGAGCCTCTCCCTGGCTGGAGGGAGAGACTCACAGCTGTCTGCCTGGAGCAAAGCTCATCCTTCCACAGGGACTCCCAGCCCATTCCCCAKCCCATCCTCCATACCGTCGTCTGTCTTGTCCAGAATGTTGAGGACATCAGCCAGTTCTAAGGAGAGCTCATCAGGCTGCTGGGCCACGTATGGGTGGACACACTGGATCTGYGGGCAGTCTGCCAGGGAACAGGGCAAGAGTGAGGGATGGACTGGGATGGAGGCCCCTGAAGGACAGCCCAGCTTGGGTGGGTGTAGCCCCCTGAGCTCTGCACGTGGTCCCTCTCATGAGGTATGAGACCCTGGGGAAGCCAGGGGATGCCCAAGCCATAGGGRCTGGGGAAGCAGCTCTTGGGAAGGGACCCAGGTACACATCACCATCACAGTGCCAGCCATGGGCAGCCTGGGTGGGAGGGAGAGTATCGGTGCAGCCCAGCCCAGGTTGGAGTGGGATGAGGTTGGCGCCAGGCCCAGAGACAAGCAGGTGTTTATGGTGGAAAATAGGGGGAGCCCAGGGAGAGGGTTCAGCTTTGGCAAAGGTCCCAGATACGTGGCTGGACTGAGATCAAGCAGAATGAGGTGCCCTGTGGTAGGGGTGAAGAGCTCCCAGCTCCCATGCTGTGTCTCTTACCGACAAGTCTGGATGTAAATGAAACAAATTTGGTTCTCCGGTTTGGGGCTAGTGAAATCATCCAGCGCTTCATTTCACTCCTGGACAGGGGAGACAAACCAAGGCCATGAGCAAGAGAGAGCTGTAGGGGCCCCAGCTCTTCTGCCAAGCCAGTCCYGGACTTCACATTCCTCCTCCCAGCCTTTTTCTGCCTGCCCCTCCAGGGTCCTGGGCTCAGTGCTGATGCTGAGCCCCTCTGTACACATCCTGGCTGGGATGTCACACATGGCACAGTACTCCAGGCGCCGCTGCACAGCCCTGGCTGACCCCACAGGCAGCACGCTCCCTCTCTGGAGAGCAGCACTGCTGCTGACAGCCAGCAGTGAGGTGGGGGGCCTGGCATTCTCTGAAAATTAACMAGCAAAGGCAGCTGCTGGCTGGGCTGGTCAGGAGCAGTTTCTCCTGGAGATAAGCAGTTACGGGAACCGTTTATTCCCGCAACTGTTGTGTAGGAGCATTTAAAGGGCAGAGCCTATAAATCCTCTTGCAGAAGAGCACTGCAGCACACTGAGGGTACCACTTCCTTGGCAGCAAGACCCATGCAAACAGCACACTGCAAAACCTGGTCCTGCAGTGGGAGTGTGAAGATCTCACAAATGCTGGAGAAGCCCCATGCCTGGCTYCCCCCAGGCTTCCCTCAGCCCCACTTGAGTTCACCTTCACAGGCTCCAGCTCCTGCCTCCTCCTGGAGGACCATCTGTGCTCTTGGCTGCCAGAGAGTAATAATTTTCTATCTTCTCACATGGTTTTAATGCCTGAACTTGATACACATGGAAAACCATTGTAGTGTCTTCTGGGAGGAGAGGGGCCTGCAAGGGGGACGTAAAGGACAATGCTGGCAGGCAGGTCTGTGGGGTTGGGAATACGTTGCACTTCAGGGATGAAGCAATGACAAAGACCAATAGAAGCTCTTGCAGAAGACATTCAGGATGAGGGCCTTGTGCACAGAGGAGCTGTAACGTAGAGGTCAAACACAGAGTCTTACTGTGCTTGTGGCCCTGTCTGCATGCTGGCCCTGCACACAGATCCTTGCAGGGCTCTGTGAGTCCACCCACAGTGCCCAGCTCCTCTCAGCCTGCAAGGAGCCCCCTGCACTCCAGTTCTATCAGTGCAACGAGTTGTGTCCAAGTAAACCGTCAGCTCCTGGCAGAGCCCACCCAGGGCATGAGCTGCAAGCTGCCACTAAGCAAGTAATTGTCGCCTGATTCAAGAGCTGTGAGAGCTGTGGAACAAATGTAGAAGACTGTTTGGTGGCCACGTATCTCTTCTAATTGTTTAGTTTTTCAGGCTGTGCCCCAGTACTGCCTCTATCATTCCTACAGCTCTAGAACAGCAGCCTTCAGCAGTTGCTATGTCACATCTCAGTGCTCAAGACCTATTGGCAAGCCATGTTGTGGATCACGTACTTGCTGTGGCCACCTAAAAGATGGGACAGGATGCAGAACATGGACCTACAACTGCCTCCCCTGAGCTGAGAAAATCCTGGCCTGGTTTATCATTTGCTGCACAGCCAAGCCTCACAGACGTCACACATGCGCTCGCCCTGCATAGTGAGACTGACATCTCTATTTTCAGTGTAGCAGAGCTGCAGACACATGTCTGGGGAGAAGRTGCAGCTGCTCACTGTAACTGGGGGCTCATCATCCTGATGTCAGTGCTGTGCTGGCAGGTRTCAGGGTGCAGCCCCAGGGCTGGTGTTCATTTAGGAATATGGACGATGAACACCAGCCTACGGACAGCAGACAATATCAGCCTGGGGATGTGCATTGTCTCTAGGAGCTATTTAGCTGGTGGCATAAATGCTGTGCCTAGAAAACATGGGCCTTGTAATTCCTGGGTCATGAGAAAGCCATGACCTTTTCTCCAAAACAATCGGGTCTGTGCTAGCACAACTGAACCATTTGCCTAGCCTGAGCTTGTTGGAGCCTGAAGTGAAAAACCAGTGAGCCAGAAAACCTGCGTCCAGGGAGACAAGGAGGCCCTGAGAAGCAGAAGATGCACAAGAAGACATTGGCTGTGAAGGCATGGAGGAAGCAGCTTTTTCTCCCACCTTCACCTACAAACATGAGACATTTTGCTTCATAGGGCTGGTCAGGCATGGCCATGATCCTTGTGAGTCAGTGGAGCCWTTGTAGTGTGCTAGTGTATATCCTGCTTGGTTTTACTTTTTGAATATGCTGCAGGCTATAAATCAGCTGGACCCCTGTGCCTGGGCTGATTTCTGACCTCTCTGTCCCAGAACATGATCTGCCTGTTTGTCCTCCACCCTGGATGCCTCAAATACACTGTACAGGAGAGAAACCTGCCTAGGYGACCAGTGCCTTTCAGTAGCCTTGGGGGAGTGATGCTGGGGAAAGTTGGCAGAGCCAGTCCAGCTGCAGCAGAGGGATAGCACCCTGCTCACTCCTGGAAAGCCTGGACAGCTGGCCCCCATGCAGACAGGGTGTAGGGAGAGAACACTGCTGAGCTCTAGCAGGGTGACTGGTACTCACTGGGATGATGCCTTCAGCATGTAGCTGGCCTCCCGGTCATCTGCATTCTCCAGCAGCCTCAAGATGAAGACATTGGCCAAACTTTGCCCCTGATCTTCTAACTCCTCTACCCGAAGAAGCCCTCGGGGAGCAGAGTCAAACACTTGGTACTTGTCCCTGGGAGAGATTAGAGGATTAGAGCGGAGATTAAGAAATACTGTGGTTATCACAGAAGACTTTGACTTCAGTCACCCAGAACTGTGCTGAGGACACAGACCAGGAACTGATGCATGGCAGGAGGAAAAAGGATGTCCTGCTGTGGGAAGGGATGAGTGTGTGGCTATGAAAACCCACGGCAAAGCAAGGAACCCTCTCCTTGCTCTGCCCTGGCATCCCTCATGGCCTGGAACAAGTTGCTTGCTCTATCTGATCTCCCCACATCCAAAACACAAGTGGCGCTCCCTCGAAGGGGATTGTGAGGCTTAATTAATTCCTGTTCATAAAATGCCTCTGTGTTTTTTGGATACAAGTAGCCACAGAAGCAAAACATTTCCCAGTATACAGACACAGTGGCGACAAGTTCATTAGGAATGGTGGACGGGCGAGATGTTCCCTACCAGTTGGTCTAGTTCATGCCACAAAGAGTGTGTTGTTCTCTGCTGCTGTATTTCACCAGTGTCTGCTTGCACAAGACCCAACACTTAGCATGACAACATCCTCCTCTTCCACCTGAGGCAGGTTACACTGTGTCAAATATAACCACCGGCCTCAGGCCGCAATTTATCCCCCTCCCTGCTGCTCAAACTTTCTAATCAGCTTTATTAGAGGTTTAACTGACTAAATCTGAGCTGTACATCAGGCAGCTATGAGTCAAAAATCGCTCCTTGACAGGAAGACAGGCCTCCTGGGTCAGCCCACCAGCCAATGTAACTCATTGCCACACTGCAGAAACTGCTGGATATCTGGTTGCTTACTCTGATGGGAGATCYAGCCTGGGTTCTGTTTAACTCCTGTTTGCCATAAATTTTCAGCTGGAGAGAGTTGTGTCCCCCATGAAGAGTCAGCTGTGCTCAAAGGCAAGGTGACTGCTGGAAGTTGTGTACTGGTCAGGGCAGGATGCCCATCCTGTGCCTGAGGGGCAGGATGGGGGTCACAGCATCACATCTTAGAAAACCCAGGGCAATAGAACTAAGGAAGTATCCTGTGTACTGCCTGAATTTTGCACTCACCCAGGAATTTGCCGGCAAATCACCAGCAGATCATTGAAAAGGAACAAGTAGATTTCTCTGAAGAGTTTCTTGGTGCGAAGTGTTCGTGATGTCTTTGGACCATTCATTTGCTGCAGCTCCCCCTGCTTCAGCAGCCAGCGRGAGTGAGAGATGATGGGTACAGACTAGAAGGGAGGAAAAGATGGCAAAGTTCAGGAGAGCAGCAAAACCCCACGGATTCATGTGGTCAGGATGCTGAAAGCAACAAGAGATGCAAAAGAAAGGGTGGTGAGCTCCYACCACCACAACTTGCACTGCAGAGGCTGGAGCAGAGCTGCAAGAAGAGGGCAGTGTGCTCTGCCATCCACGTAGCCCAGCACAGTGTGATGGAACTCGGACAGGGGCACAGCAGGGGTCTGAGGATGAATAGACATTCTAGGATGGCAATGCATTCCAACCAAACACTGGAACAAAACAACAGCCTAGGCCCTGGTCTCTTTCCAAGAGATCCCAACACCTGGGCCGAATTTTCCTGGATAGGAAGACTGACTTTCAAGATTATGGATTTGGCCTTTTGGCTTCATAAGCCCCCAGGTTAAACAGGTTTTCCTTGGTTGGGTCTGTCCCAATCAGGAGGAGATACTGTCCATGCAGCTACCACAGCACTTCTAGATTCTAGATTCTACCACAGCTRGACTTTTAACACATATTGTGCTAAAACCAAGAAACCCAGTACAAAAAAGAACATCTTGAACTAGAAGAACACTACATTGCCAAATGACTGAAATATTGAAAAATATCAGTATAACTGCTACTCTTTCCACCTTCATTCCCAGTGTTCATTACATGCTTGGTGGCACAGTCTTTCTTTTCAACTCCTTGTACCCTTTTCCTCAGAAGACCCCTACCTGTGSCAGTTCCCAGGGCTGAGCCGCTCCAGAGATGAACCAGCTCCTGCCTCTCATTACAGCCTCAGCTTCACAAGAAGGCGGCTGTTTAGTTTCCCTAATCTACTRCTGTCCTGTGGACTGTGGTCTAGCCCTGATGCACTGGTAAAATGCTCTGTAAAAATAAAATTTTTTGGTTTTGTTGTTCATGTACATAAAAAGGATTGCTGGGAAGCTAAATATGATCCTTAAATTTTGTGAAGCAGACAGACCTGAGAAGCATCTCTATAGCATTCAAGAAAAGAACTGACAACTTTATACTCAGCACTGGAATTTCATGRTATATATCAACTGAGATCTGGTCCCACCCCTAAATATTAGTTTAGCAATTCTCTCAGAGGAAGTGTAACATATCAGTAGCAGGTATTTAGAGACTCTACATAATACATAAATACAGGAATGAATTCAAATGGTGGGACAGTCTTTCTTTGGGTAGTTTTCAGTTTTAAAGTGTTTTGCTTTGTCGCTTTTATCTACCTTTAACATAATTTTAATGTAAAATAACAACYGAAAACTGGCCTGCTTTTTGAAGARAGGTAAAAGGAAAGAGCCACACCTGAGTGCTGGAGCAGGAGCACAGTGCACAGGAGAGGTGATGGCAGCATGTCCCAGCTGTGTACATACAAACCATGCTGGCCTTGGTGCTGCCCCAGCCTCTGCAGCAAGTGTGCACCAAACACACACATGGATGCTCTGCCTGCAGCAGCCCCTTCAGAGGCTTTGGAGGGGGACAGCAGGGACCAGACACCACTGAATACCCTCTGAGAAGAGTGCAGCTGGGTTACTACTGTCATGTATGTGTGTAAAACCTGGGTGCTTTTGGTTCACTGTCTTCAAAGAGTTACCAGCTTGTGCTTGTACCTTGATCTTGAATTCCAGTTTTTTCTGAATGCTGATCATCTGCTCTGTTCGGCTCATCTTCCGAACACCTTCATTACATGCTTTCACCACCTGGGAAAAGAGAGTACAAAGGTTTGCCCCTGCTGSTGTTGAGCATGTAAGTGATGATAGACAGCATGGAAAGGCCTGACCATCATCAGGTAAGTGCCCTGCTGTAACAGGAATTGACCAAGCCAAGCTTTCTATCAGCACTGGGTTTGCATGAAAAAGAGAAGGAGAAAAAACCCTCTAAAACCTGAACATCCAAAAAGCGCCAAAATACCCAGAAGGTGTTACAGGTGGAAGCTGTCAGAGGACATGTTAGGTGCCTACATTCAGTTACTGAACCAGACAGTATAAAACAGTGTTTCTGGTTGCACAGCAAAAGGAACTGCTCATTTTCCAGATCCTGACTCACCATATATCTCATTTTCCCTATTGCCAAYGCTTGAAATGAGTTATATGTATAGTATCATCTTCAAGGAGGGAAAGAAGCCAAACATCTTCTTTTCAGAAATGCAAATGTTGTGGTTCTGCCAAGCAGCATCAGATGCAAAGGCTATGAACTGTCCCAGGGAAAGAAATACAGAGCTCAGCTGTGTTCTGAGTATAAACTTTTAACTGAAAAACCACAACCAACGTGCAAGCACTACGCTGTTACAGAGACCTTAACCTAGATGCTACTGACTGTTTCCTAAAGAGCAACTCTCTTGAGAGCTGGCTAGGTAGAAAAATTACATTGGAGAACAAGCTCCACTTTGTGCTCTGTTTCTGCCACACAGAATCCATCAGAATATCAGCAACTGAAACAGTCATCTACTCTTTGCCTCTCAAATAGAAAGAGAGAAAATAAGCCCACAGAAAAAATAAGCATCAGATGATCTGTGTTGTGATGCCTGTACCTAGCTGAATATTAGATATCTCAGCTTAAACACTTACAGATAAATGCTTAACCATGCAAAAGAACTAGCAAACTGATCACATGAGTCACTGATAACCGAATACAAACCCAGCATTTTTCCATTAGCAGCTGTAGTCATCTGCATGCTACAGGAGCAGTCTTCCTCAGGCTACTGGCCAATGGAGAAGTAATTGGCTATGAGATGTGTCAAAGGGGATTCTGCAAATACTAACTCAGTGCAGAACACCCTTCATTGGTAAGGTCCCTGTCTATCCCTAGTGATCTCCAAGCATATACTTCCTAGACTGGTTCAGGACAAATTCAAGAACCTGTTCTCTTCTAGTGTTTCAGTCAAAGCTGCAGACCCATACTGAGGCTGATGTTCTAGCACAGTTTTCAATTTCAAATACTTACGCTGAACAGCAGGAGTCAAGAGAGGTTCCAAGCTTCTGATGGGGAATGGTTGAAACCCTGTCCCAGCCCCTGTAGCTGCCAGCTATGTCCAGACCATTCAGATATGGCATTATGCCATCTAACCACATCAGGAACAGCCCAGRTGGTAAACATCCCACTGCCTCACTGGGGTTTTGCACACAGCAGTAATRAGCACAACTGAACACTACACCTACCTACCTACCAGCTTCAGGGAAGAGGGCTAAAAGCTGAGCTGTGTACTTCATTAGGAAACAGTTTTTTCTAGGTCAGAGGAAGAAGTATGTTGTGTTGGAGGAAACCTTGTACTCTGAAACAGTTGTACTCCACACCTAATTACATCTCTCATTTGGATCCATCACCTTCAAGTATCTGCAAAAATAGTTTGCGCTCTTGGAGATTCTAAGGGGAAACATTCTCTGCTCTTTCTTATGACAGAAACATACATCTATTGTTAGATTCCTTGTCTCTGACATCTAAGTGCACCTTAGCTAAGACTAGTCCATCTTTTGGATTTTAGAAAAAAAGAACCCTCTTGAAACACTGTGACAGGATTCAAAGAAATAGCTCCAGGATAGAATGTAGTCTGCAGGTGATTTTTTTCAGGGTGATGTGTGTGGGGGAAATGAGCATAGTGGTTTAATCTTAATGACCTTCCATTAACTTATTCAAACTTACTGTTTCCAGTTCCTTATGTGCATCTAGTGCAGTGGATTCCCTGTCAGACTTCTCTTCTACTTTCTTCAAAATATTCTGCAGAGGAAGAAAGGCTGTGTTAATGCTGATCCCAATGTGAGAGCAYGGAAAGGTCTTTGCTAGCCTACAAACTACGTCTGACCATCAGCCTAATTAGAGGAAAGGTGACAGAATACAATGACTCTCACCTCTTAGTTCCTCTTTCTCATTAAAAACTGCTCTCATCTGACTTTATATCTACGAGAAATATAACAGGCAGATTCTTATTTTATAAAAATAAATTAATAAGTAAATACAACTAGAGGTGACACTAACAGACAGTGTTATTGGYAATCACAGTGGGGTTCTATCATTTGGGACTGAGCTGTATCCTCCTCATCCCTAGAAGTATGTTCTCCAGCAGTGTTTAGAGAAGCTAGCAATGCACAGGAGGAAAATGGCTGACAGTCTGGCCCAAGCCACCATGGTATAGCAYTCCCATGTCATCCAGCTGTTCTACATCTGTGTGTCACCATCCTAACCATCAGGCAGCTGGSTTAATGGACTGTTGCTACCCTTTCTAGCAGCTCAACAAAGGTCCTCCTCAACTCTTGCACTCTGTAAAAACTGTCAAATTCAGCACTGACTTGGGTATGGTCTCTGGGTGAAATCTGAAATCCTTTTTCTGTAGTTGTGGAGAATGTCTGACTCTGTGAAAAGACTTCATCCGGTGATAGGATTGATTGTGGCTCTATCTAAGCCCCATTCACAGCTGCTGGAAAGGAAAATTCCAGGAGTGATCCAGAAGACCTTTATGAKAGAGAAGCGTGAAACTCTACCTGTACCAGCAGCTTGAGTCGAGTGATCCTTTGAAATGGCAGAATCAGGAAGGAAGAAAAGGAAAGGCCTTTGCACTTGGGATCCAGCTCCAGCTGTGAGATCACTTCCCGGAAGGCTGGTTTGTCCTGGCTGAGACGACAGATAGGGAAGGTGAGAACTTTTCAGTGCTAACCTGCCTGGGACTCTGGTATATGGCTGGTGAGACAAAAGCCGCTTGGTCTCAGAGACAGCAGCCTCTCCCAACAGGAGACATGAGAGGAAGAGGGGACTGAATACCTCTGGGCTTATTTTAGTTTAAATCTAGAACTATTTATAGTGTTGGGGGAGGGAAAAATAGACTTCTCATGTACAAGCTACGGCAATGTTCACATGTGTTCAGATCTAGCTCAGCAGCAAAYACTGTGTGTGTGGGTGTATGTGAATGGGGTGTGTGTCCAAGTAAATGAGTCAGAGGCACAATTATATATTTTTACACAATTGCAACTCTGTGATAAGGTGAAATTCACAGTCATAAGAAAAAGACAAGCCACAAAGTAGCTTAGGCTTGAAGGTTCCTTATTGCTTAGCTGGAGGATGGAAATCATTATCTGACCTGAGAAGGGCAGGGGCCAYGCCTGGAGCTTCCCTGATGGCGTTTACAGGAGATGAGGGTACAGATGAGCCACAGACGCGGCTGTTCAGAGCAGAGCTGTTCTGGCTGCCAAAGCTTCCTGGCAGCCACAGGCTGAGTAAGCCTAAGCAAGGCTTGCACTGCAGGAGTCCTGGCTAGTGGACTAWGCGTGGATGGAAAGAGGTTGCTAACTGTGCAAAACCTATCTGTACTGTGTGTTCCTTACAACATTCAAAAGAAGCCACTGGCACTGYTCCTCCCTGCTGCAGCATGTACCTGTGTGACAGGGTGACTCACAGCAGAATGGACCTGCATGTGTCTGAGGAACAGCCAAATGGGGGAAATTGTGATATACCTCAGGCTTTGAGTTCAGCCAAATGCTGCAAAATTCCTGTACTAGCTAGGAGCTGGAGAAGGGACTCAGTTCTTTTCAATTTGCTTCATGTATTTCCACAGGCAAAATAAACGCTGCCCTCTGAATTCACACTTGGGAATACCTCATCTCCAAGTATCAAGCTAAAATAATCCAGCCTATTGCTGCTTTGCTTCTAAGTCTTTAGATAACAATGGCTGCAAGCAAACTGCTTCTTTTCTGCAGCTGTACTGTTCATCTCTGACTGAAGGAAACCCTGTGGTACCCTCCTTTTGGAGAGAATAGCTGTCCAACCTCAACAGAGGCCCCTAAAAATGTTTTTTTTCCTCAAAAGCTGGAGAGCAGAGAAAGGAAAGGATTAGGGATTTTTACACTCTCCTAAACCAGCTACTGCTACAGGAGAAAATATATTGCAGTATGTGCAATGGGCTGTCCTGAAAGAATCCAGGAATCAGGATTTCAGGCTGTCCTGAAAGAATCCAATGTAACTAGAGAAAAATTGATTATTGGCTTTTCAAAGACAAGGTTGTAGGGCACTCTTTGTTTTGTGCTGGTATCAGAGAATTCCTGCTGGAACAAAAGACTTGCTAAACTTGGAAAATACTATAAAAATGTGTTGTATTATATCCTCAGGTCTAGGTCTGCATATGTAAAGAAAATAATTTTTTGTTGGTTTTTTTGGGGTTTTTTTTTGGTGGTGTTTTTTTTTCTTTTTTTTTCTTTTTTTTTTTTTTTTTTTTTTTTTTTTTTAAGAAAATCCTGCTGTTTTGAAAAAGAATTAATCATGAACTTTGGGAACGCAAAATGCCTTGCTGAGAAGGCTGGGAAAAGTGGTGGCTGTTCTTGTCATCTAAGATCTTGGCCTTTCATCTCTTGGCTCTACTTGCAGTTTAAAAATATGTACATTTGCCAAGCACATGGCCCTACAGTTGAGAAGTGCTGTCTTTGAATTTTCTTGCCATGTTATTTGCATACTATATCAACCCATCCTTACTGTAAAGCCTTTAATTGTGTTTTCTTTTTAGAGATGCAGTGAGAAATCAGTGAAGTCAGAAATCCTGTTTCTTTGGTATTTAGCCATTTCTCAAAAAAATCAAACTTACAGCTAAATCTGTGGCCTATGTAATTTTGCAAAATAGTTCAGCAACAAGTGCTAGAACTCACAGAAGCTGCTTGTAGGCTCTCTCCTGGTAGGTCTGGTTGGAGACGTAGGTGATGTACACAGAGAAGTGACTAACTGTGTGCTGGTAAACAATATCACACACGTCTGAGATCACAATGTTCTCCTCCACCCGCTGCTCAAGGTCCAACAGGAAGCTAGATGAGAAAAGCAGCACCGTATTAATTGTGACCTATCTGTCCCAGGCAATTCCTAGAAAGCAGCTCCTCCATCCCTCTCCAACTGTGGTTACCTACAGCCACAGCTTGCAGTGCTGTTCCGCAGCTGACTTACCGCTCGCTGACAGCCATGACATCCAGCACATTGGAGAAGAGGATGTGTGCCTCAGACTGGTGTAAGATCTTTTTCAGACGTTCATTCTCCATGAAGTGAGACACCAGCAGATTCAGACTCTTGTAATACGATGCTTCAGAAGTAACCAGCTCAAACATGGCCTGGGAGAAAATCCCAAAGAAGGAAATCAGCAGGTATCTTCTACCTCTACAGAGAGGCAGAGCAGGCTGCTGCCCAGCCATGGCTCTTGCACCTACCCTGCAGGCCCAGACTGCAGGGAGAGGTAAGCCCACAATATGGCACCTGTTAGAGGGGACAGTGACTTCAGTGGGGAAGTTTTCCTCCCACTGCCTTCAGCCCCAGCCTAAAGGAAATACAGCTGTTACTGTCCCTGATCAGCCCTGGCCATACACTTTTCTATCCCAATTCACAAAGAACCAGAACAAGACACAGTAGTTCCTAACTAYTACCAGAAATCATAAATAATCTCCAAATGTCCACCTTTGCTTATCCTGTTAGAAGAGAAAACTCTGGAGAAAAGCCTGACTTCCTCAGGACTAGGATGTTGTCTGTGGAAGCAGAAAGACAAATTGGTGGTTTGGTTCAGTGATAAAGAGCAGTTTAATGAGATGAAGATATAAAGTCTTCTACCTCCAGCAAGAGCTGCAGGGACAGTCCTCTATTACCATTGAGAGATCCCTCACTCACTGGGTGATTATTTGTTGTCTTTGTTCAGAGGTAGATGTAAAGGTGTTTATTTACACAACTACTGAATCCATTGGTTGAAGTAAGATTAACTGAAGATTCTCACAAGAGCTTCAAAACKGAGAAGTTGTTAGATCCTTCAGGCACCTCTTGCTAAAGGTATATGTTGGGATCCTTGTCCTGGAGCTGGCCCATGCTGCCATTGCTAGGAGAGGAAGCTCTTGCAAAGTTTTGTTTCCTTGAATCTAAAACTGCTTCAACGCTCCCCTCCTGCCCACAGCTCCTCTGTTGCACTCTGCTGAGGGCAAAGCTGGCCAGGCAGTGAGGGTGYTGGCTGCAGAGGCCCATCTAGAGTCGAGGAGGTTTGATGGAGCCACAAGTACACRCAGTGGGCTTTGTGATGTGTACATAGAAGACTATCTTCTAAATTTCTTGGGGGTCTGTCTTGTGGCTTGGTTGTTGTTTGGTTTTTTCTCTTTAAAGAAATTATTTGGAATTCTCTGCTGATCAGTTTTTGGCCTTTTCCTGGAAATATCACTGTGCATCACATAAGAACTTGAGGTAGTGACAAGTTCTGTCCCTGCTGCAGTCCAAGATCAGGTGGATGGGCACAGCAAAAAGGGACTGTTACTCAATCCAGAGCTGCTAAAATAGTAGTTGAAGTTGTATCAGCTCTTTGTGGGGCTGGTAGCCTAGGAAATGTTCCCAGTGGGCAGTTAAGTCCAACAGGTGGTCCTATCCTGCACCAGAGGAGGAGGCTGTGCCTGCACAACCCCCAGAAGGGAGACAGAGGAAAGGGTACAGATGAACTTAGTCATTGACCATGGAACAGAGAGCATTTAAGGAATAAGAGAATGCTGGATTTTTTTTCAAGGCCAGAATCCTAATGAAGAAAGTGGAGGAGTATCAGCTCAGCTTCTCCCAAAWGCTTTACCCAGGTGCCTGGTGAACCTAGGAGAAAACCTCTCTCTTTCTGTGTGACTGGCTCAAAAGTCCTTAAATKCAAATTTTACAGCCTTAACTGTACATTTTTATTTGATAAATAGTGGTAATAGGCAAAGATATACAGAACATGTTGGGACAACCTGTCCCTTCCAGCTATTCTGGAGCTTGACACCTCCAATCTTTTTGCACTGCAGCTTTCGAGAGACTCCAAGCCAGGAGTTTTTTTCTGCCAAATTTGGTTATAGAATTTGTGTGTGTTTGCTGTTTGCTAGACTAGAGGGTGCTAGACCTGCAAGGGCAGGTGCAGAATGCAGGCTATACTAAAGAAATAATGAAATCCATAGTGAAGATATCTGGCTCATTTGTTCCAATAGGGACAATAACAAATCACTTTCCATGACACTTTTCAAGCATCCACTGCTATTCCTATCAAGCTTCTTGTTTTGATGCTCAGAAATTTCTTTTTTTTTGTTTTGTCTTGCACTGACAAGCTGCTTAGTAATTTCCCATCGTTGCCACTAAGAAACACCAGATTCCTCTTCTTGTTCTAGTCTGTTTCACTTKGAAGATTATTTCAGATGACCAGCTTTTTCTCTGATTGTTTAAGCCCTGTTCTGTCACAGCTACAGTGTTCCCTTCCTCAGCTATGAAAAGGGGTGTTAACTTCAACTTTCTTTCCATTTGTGTACCAACATTTCTCCCTGTGGTCAAAATAATACTCTTGCTCCACCTTTCTCRGCTGAAGATGTGCAAGCTCTTCTAGTCCCTGTGTTTACTACAGCCTGGAAGGTAAAATGCATCAGAAAAGTACAGTTTTGCCTTTAAGACGTTTACTCCAGAATTCCTCCTGTCCTGTACTTCAGGAAAATTWCTCTAGTTCTTCTTCATGAAACAGAACATTTTACACTAACTAAATTAAGCCCTCATGTACAGCTCACTCTCACAGTTCACATCCAACATGAGTAGGGTTCCAGGACTGCAGAAGGAAGCAGTGCTTGCTTACAGCAAGGCTAAATTCAACAYCATCTCTTCAATAACCTCAGAGATTTCTCTCGCCCTCCTTGTTTTCTGACCTTGATTCTCCTCACAAAGCAAATTCTCCACTTTGTCTGTTCAATGTTCAGGCAATTTCACAGCTTTCTGGCTTTGAGCAATTTTACAATCCCTTACTGTGCTAATCCAGAACAAGCAGGAAGAAAATTTCAGGTCTGATAAACTAAGAGTGGAAAAGGCACAGCACTTCTTTATGGCAGCACCATCCCATTCTCCAGCTGCTTTATTTTTCTYGTTATTTTAACAGAGAGAAGAAAATTGAGCACACTTAATGTTGGGATTTAGCAGCACAGAGATTTTTTTCCTTAAAACACATTCATGTGACGAATGTAACTTAACAGAAACAGCAAGATTTGAAATCTATGATGCACACTTTTAAGCAAATATTTCTCTGTATAAGATTCTTCATTTAGAAGCAAAAATGAAAAGAAATTTTTGTAATTTTTTCAAATGCCAGATTGTGTTTGTAATGCTGGCACTTGGAAGTACCGTGCTTTGCCAGGTAAACAGAACAAATCTGATATGGAAATAACCAGCACAGAAGAAGAACATGGAAAAGCAACAAATCATTTCCGTCACCTTCAGCCCTTACCCTGATACACTTAAGAGCCAATGCTTGCTTGCCCCAGCTACTGTATATAAATACCAGTGCCCTCCACCAGRGGTGTGAATAACACAGCCCTGCCCATGATATCCTTGGGGTGCACAAGATGAGCCTTTCCATTGTGACAGTCAAGTTACAGCCTTAGCCAGGACTGGCATTGTGTGCACAAGGTGTTCATCAGTGTGGATAGTGTAAGTCCAAGTGAATTTCGGAGGGACTGCTTGCAGCCTGAGATGTTTTTCAGCACTTTGGGTGCAATCCCATGAACCAGGAATAAGCAGATATACTGCAACAACCATCTCATAAGAAGCAATCCTGGTGCTGGAGTACACTCAGAGTCACAGGATTCAGCCTTGGAAAGACCACTCCTCATACCACGATGCACATCACACAGTAAACAAGGTTTGCCATTTCCACCGTTGGCTATGAATGCAGAGCTATGCAGTGACAAAGAGCACTCACACTCCTCATGCTACCCAAAATAGCAACCAGTTGTAAATTGTTGAATGACTGATGTTGTCATCACTTGTGACAGCTACCCCTACCCACTCCTTTTACTGTCTCTTGCAGTCCTGTAAGTCAACAGCATATGGCTCTAAAATAGTGATGTCACTGCACTGCATCACTTAATGCAAATGCATATAATAAATGCAAATACCTCTCATTATTTTTTATTGTTTGCAATAGACTCAAAGTAGCACCAATTAAATATAAGGACATTTATCAAGCTCTATCTCTTCTATTTCTATTAGTGCCATCATATTCAAAACTTTATAATTAATGGTTGCATTCTTCTAAGATTTCTGGTGGAAAATTGTGTGTCCTGCTAGTAACTTCAGAAAATTAATGTGCATTGGAACCAAAAGCTCTTTTGTAAAATCCTTCTCGTTATCCCTCTTTCTTTGTAATGTGCTCCTAACACTGAATCAGAAAASAGAAAAGACATTCCTTTTGCTACAGAAATGTCCAGAAGCAGTAGTATATAGAGCAAGATCTGCAATTTCACAAAAAGGAGTGAGTGATGCAAACTGGTACAACTCAGAAAGTACTCAGCAGGGCAAGGCTTGTCCATGACTGCTGTGAAGCTTTTAATTTTAAAATCTTGATCACTTTGCTTAATTCACTTTTCCTTTTTAAAGCAGCAACACATTTAGGAAACATTCTGCCTTTCCCCATTACCTCTTGCAGCTTGATCTCATCTGGCTGGAGGATGCTGAGGACACCACTGCTCTGGACCTCAGGAAGATCCTGCCATAAGTTGAACCTGGAGTTGGAATTTCTCAGCAAATTTATTTGTGGTGGAGCTTTATTTTCGATTGTACTTGTGGATTCTGCTTCAGATGGGGTTTCCTCACTGGGTGAGATCTCCTCAGGGTCTGTCTGTGAATCCTGCAGTCGCCTGGTTTCAATCTCCTCGCGTGTAGATTTATCTCGATATTCCTGATACAAGAGCCCTAGGAGGGAACATAACAGATCTGAGAGGATATAGCCAAATGAGGCAGTAAAAAAGTATTGTGGGAAAGGACAATTGCTTTGCATTAGTTTACCTCAGCAGAGGTGAGAGAGATCCCTTTCRTTCAGAGTGAAAAGCCAATTATGGCATTCCTATTTCAGCCARAAGTGGAAACTATAAATGGAAGGTCATTTCTAAATCTAAAATGTTGTCAGCAATCTGCTCTCACAAAACATTTAGTAACACAGTCAGATGAATCCATGATCACTCAGAAGACATAAAAGAAGTGATTTGTCACGCTTTTAAATGCCTTTTAAACCTTGATATTCTGTGTTATATTACTATGTTGCAAGTTACATAGGTTGATATCTATGTATAATGTTTGTCTGGAAAAGTAATACTGCTCACACTGAAAGTACTTTAAAGGTAGCAATTTGGTGGCCATGAAAATCCTGAATGAGCAAACACTGAGCTGCTGTTCCTGGAACTGGACAGGTGAAGCTTTGGGGCAACAAGCTACAGTAACTAGATTTGTTTTGGTATTGATTTCATGGTTAGCCTTGCACATGTTGCCTAATATCTTGCTGTTTTCCTTCTCAGTTTCTATGATGATTGAAGATAAAAATTAACATCCAAAAGGTACCTATYTGCTACAGCACTAAAGGAACAGGCTCTGAATTCACACCATGTGGTAGCACATCAATCACACCAGATGTCTTCTGAGTTTCAGTTGCTAACTTCAGGACTGGATGAAATTGCACAGGATTGCGCCCCACTCTGGTATCAACTGACAGCATGAAAAAGTAGGAATCCTGAAGTTCATTGCCCATCTTCAGAACATTGTCTCTCTGAGGGCTTTCAAACTGTCCCATTTCTCTTTCTGAACCATATGTAGGACCCAGAATTTTAATTGCTTGAATATAAAATGTACTTTAGAARATATGTAAAGGCAAGAGAGCATGAGCATGCTCTGAGTCACTTTCCTCCCTTAATGAAATTGAAGAAGCACAAYTTAATTTATCTTTCTTGGTTTATACTTGAATTGCAGTGTAACATGAATGAATAAAGAGAAAAGCCTTTGGTGTTAGAAAAACACACCCTACATAATTTATTTTTTCTGAATCATTAGGGGTTAAAATTTATCTGGTCACATGTATTCAGATTCCACGTGTAATAAGGTGAGAGATAATGGGATTAAGGGGGAGGGAGAATCTAGGGAGGGCAGAAATGTAGATGTTGCTGCCTATTACATCTCTGGACCAGTTTCAATGAGTCTCTGTACCAGTCACTGGTAAAACTATATGGGAAATGCACTGCGGAAAGGCGCAGGAACAAGGACAGCATTCCTGCAGTCTGTGAATATGTCCTGGTATCTGTTCCTCCTGGAAAGATGTTTGACACCGGATTAAAATAGCAGTAAGGGTAGCTGTACCTAGGAAACCATATAGTCTTCTGTTAGCTTCCTACACAGCACTGAGCTGAGGAGACTTTCCCTGAAGTTTTACATGCTGCTGCCACTTATGTAATTTCTCTCTGCGTCAASTAGGTTTATATAGTTTTCCTAAGCACTGCAGGCTGGTTTTCAGCATCAGGGAGGGTGCTGAGGATGTAGCAGGGTGGAAAGGCTCCTTCAGGAACAAAGCCAAGAGCCTGCTAAATTTGAGCTGCTTTTGGTGGTATTGATCCATACAGGCAGCCTTTGCTCTAGGGCTCTGGTACAACACTGGCTTCTTTTTGCCCTGTGAAGAGCAGGACAGGCTGGGAACACATCCTGCAGCAGCGTGGGCAGTGTTTGGCTCAAGGGAAAACATGCTGGGAAACTAAAGCGTAATCTTTTTTACTCATATTGGAGATAATTATACTTGCAGTGTCTGACTGCATGTATACAGCCATGTTGTGCTGCTGGGTCTGCCTTGCAAGTCAGAGGATATTTTGTGTAAGGGGGATTTAGGGTCCCTTGTGAAGATCTGAAGAGCAACTTTTTTCAAAAGATCCTCAAGAYTATTTCCCCCTTGCTGTTAAGGACATAAAATCGAGATAATGAAAGTTGGTTTTTTTTTCCCAGGTTCCCGGTCTGACCAGCTAAACAGATAAGAGCTTCGGAGCCATCAGTGGCAGGAAGAGGCAAATGCAGACATGGAAGGATCAGACTGACAGAAAGCATCCACCACCAGAACTCAATCAGAAATGACAGTAAGGTAACTCATTTTAAGCAGGGAGCTGAAGAGGGAGTGGCTGAAGCTCTACAACAGAGAGCAATATGGAGAGAAAGAAGAAAGGTGATACCAAAAGAAAGACAAAAGGCAGGTAGATGTTTAGGCAGAAGGGCAGGAAGAAACAAGGACGGTTGTGCTAGCAAAGATAAAAGACATTCCCGCTGTCTTGGTCTAAAGGGTCTATTTGTATGTTGGTAAAGATGTTACAATGGGTGGAGAAATTACTTAGATGAGAGAGAGRAAGAGAAGCTATGCCCAAAGCCTTGTCCAGATGGAACAGGGGATGGTCACAGCGCAGGAAGGGTAACAGAGGCAAGGTCAAGAAACAAGGTTTTGACATGTTGAAAGGAGAGCAATTCATCTGGGAACTGACTGAATGCGTAGAAAAAAAGCTGACATCAATAATTGAATGTGACTCAGATGATACAATGATTTAGTACATGATTACATTTAGTAAGTGAACAAGTACAAAATGTCAGAGACCTGTACAAGCTCCCTTCATTGCTTAATGTCCCAACTGTCCCTGCTGTGACCTAGCTAAAGGTTAACCCTGTGGTCTGAGCATGAGTTGGGTGTTATTGTTGGCTTAARTGTTTAAGACTGATCTTCCTATGGCATGTTTACATAATTTTATAGTACTTAACAGACATTTCCCTTTTTGTTTATTCCATTTAATTTTGCTGTCATAGTCTCCCTTCCCAGCTCTCTCAAAGCCTGGGAGAGGAATTGAAAAACTAGTTACTAATTGTGGAAACACTTGCCTTAGAGAGTTCGCAGCGCTCTTGAAGTGAATGTTATTACATTGAAAGCTATGTAAAATCTCAGGAGGCCCAGAGACATTTTTTCTGAAATTCTCTGCTCCAGTTTCAGGCAAAGAGTCCTCTAATCTTGCAAAAGCAGAAGGGAGTGAGTGTGCTCCAGACATTTGATGTGGGCATAAGCGTAGCATGTTTGGTTGTCAAAACCTGGTCTCATCCATAAAGGTGCAACAGACCTACTTGCAGTTACACTGATGTGCACAGCTCTTTTGCACAGCTGCCCTCTGATATATAACTCATAAAAATATTTATGAATACAGTAACTGGGTTGCTTTGAATTCCTGCTAGTTTTAGTATTTTTATCTCACCTCTGAGGTGCACAGTCCCAGTAAACTGACAACGTTTTCACACAGCTCCCTTGGGAGATTAGTATCTACACAGCCAAAAGCAGATAACAGATCTGGYAACACTTATGCAAATTGTTCACCACTTTCCTCTAGAAGGCCCCGAACTCAGCTGGTTTGTCTGACAGATGCTGGCAGGCTGCTAGTTTCATACCAGCCTTCTTCTCCAGCACTGTCCCGGTGGCATCAGGTGTACCAAGAATCAGCCTTGCATGCCACAACCTGACACCAATCAGCAGAGACAGCCTGRGTAGCCTCCTTGCTCCAGGGAGGTTTGGATTGCTGCTCGTGAGAGTTATCTATTCGATTTTCTCATGCTAAGTGCTAGATTCCTCCCCTCTAGATTCAAGTATGTTGATTTTTTTTTCCTGAAACTGAGCAGGAGTGTTTAAAAACAAAGCTTCTATATTCTCACCATAAAACCTGCTTCAGGATACGATTTAACTTTGTTGTTGATGAAATCCCTCTGAGGAACGTCACAATTCTCATGTGGGAAACCAAGAAACAAGCTGTGAATGTCCTCTCCGCATCCCACAAAAGATAAAAAAAATAATAAAAACAAGAGTATGAGTACTCTCCTGTACAGCCATTCAAATAACCTCAACCCTGCCTTTTCAGAGACCACAAAGGATAAAATAGCTTACTTCTCCGTTGCAAGTGCTATGCCAGTGTCTGTTACACTGAATAGATGCAGAACATGGTGCATATAACCACTGCCTAAAAGGATGGGTGACAAAATTCTTTAGTCTTGCGCCTTTTGGAGTATGCAAAATCATATTTTAATGGGAAGTTTGGGGTAATCTCAGTGATTAATTGCTTCGTAATTACAAGAATAATCGTTACTTATGATCAAGGGTCAGGCTGCTCAGCGATAGTATTAATCTCCTGCCAGGCAACGTGGAAACCTGACGCCTCCATAGATGTCAAAAAGCCACGGTAATGATGTTTTACACCAACAGTGAGGGGACTCCCAGCAAAGACAGGGAGTTGGGGTCCTGCAGCACAAGCTCTTATTCCGCCCGAGGCTCCCACGGCTTGCATTTAGCTCTGGGTTTGGGGGTTCAGGGGGCGGGTAGGAGCGGTCCGGCTGGACCGAGGGGCACCTCTAGGGGCTGCTGTGCCGCCGCCGGAGCGGGGTGAGGGAGAAGCGGCGAAGTTGTGTGAGGGCGCAGCGGCGGCCGGACATGCCGGGGTGGGAACGGCTCCTTACCGATGTGYTCGATGAGGTTCCTCCAGGAGTCGGCCGTCATGGGATGTGCGGGCGGCGCCCCGGCCGTGCCGGCGGCTGGGGTCTCCTCAGCGGCGGCGGGGTCCCTGCGGGGAGGCGGACGCGCCCTCAGAGCAGCGGCGGGACAGCGGCGGGACAGCAGCGGCCCCTCCGCCCGGCCATGCCCCGCCACCCCCGCCCTCAGCATCCCCCTCACCTGCCGGACTGTCCCGCCGAGCCGTCCTGGTCGAGGGCGCAGGCGGCGCTGAGGGCCGCAGCCAGCAGCTCCATGGCCGGCGGCGGCAGGCGGCTGCCCAGCAGCTCCGGCGGCAGCGGCGGTGGCGGTGCAGGGCTGGGGGAGACCGGGCGGTTGCCACGGTAACGGGGGTAGGAAGGCAGCAGCCTGCACGGGAGGGAGAGGGGACTTGCGGCTGCCCCCAGGGCGCCCCCGCAGCCACCCTCAGGGCCTCTGAGCCCCCAAGCCCCGTCGGAGCCCCTTTCCGGTCCCTCTGAGTCTCTCTTCAAACACCCCCTTCTCTCAAAGCATCCCCAGGGCTCTCCCCTAAAATCTCCGGAGAGCCTCCTCAAATCCCCTCAGASCCCCCGTCAGTCATCCGCTGGGGCTCTCCATCAAAATCCTCTCGGATCCCTCTCAGAGCCTCCCCTCACTCTCCTCAAAAGCTTCCCACAGATTTTCCCCACAGAGACCCCCTCAAAATCCCCACAGAGTCTCTTCGCAGGGTTCCACCAGCCCCTCAGGACCCCCTTAGCCTATTGTAGCCCTTCTCCTCGTTCCCAGATCTCCTGCGAGGCTCCACGAAGTTCTGTCAAATCCCAGAGGAGCTCCCTCAGCCTTCCCCTAATCCCTCCCGAGACCCCTCGAAGCAGTTCCCAGCCCCGCTCCCATGGAGCCCTCAGAGCTCCCGCCTGAGCCCTGAGTTCCCCCAGAGCTTCTCAGAGCCCCCCCTGCAGACCCTCTCAACGCCCCCAAAATCCTTTCCGAGCCCCCACAGACCTCTCAGGTGTCGTGTCGTTCCCCCGCTCCCCTCTCAGAGCCCCGCACCCCCTGCCCAGCACCCCTGCCCGCAGAGACCTCCTCAGCCCCCCTGCTCCCCTCCAGCGCTTCGGCGCAGGTCCCTCCTCCGCCGGGAAGCTGACTCCCTCCTCCCCAAGGGCCCCCCCAGAAGACAGCAATCCCTGCCCCAGAGGCCCCCCCACCTCCACAGGCACCCCTACCTCCATCCCCCTTGCGCTCCTGCAGAAAGGCTTCTTCCCCCGATGCAGAGAAGCCCTTTTCTCCATCTGCTCCCTCCCTCCCCAGCAAGGCACCCTCCCCCAGCAAGCACCCACACACCCCGTCCCACCCTATGCCACAGCCCCTCTCCTCCATGCACGGCCACCCCACAGCGGGAGGGGGTCCTGCCCCGGCACTGACCTCCCGTCCCTCAGCCCCGGGGAGCAGCGCTGCCCCCCATCCCCTGCGCCTCTCTGCCTATGTGTGGATGGCGCCGACTTTGAGGAAGGGAAGGGGGTGGCAGAGGGGGGTTCTCCTGAACTGCTTCCAGATCTGGTGCATATGGTGCATTTCTTCTCCAGGAGTGAAACCCTGAGATGGAGGAATGTAACTGAGAAACTCAGCTTAATCCCTCCTGCCGGGAAGCACACCCGCAATTACCCCGCAGGGTTGGCCGCTATCCGCCTCTCCTTCTCCGGCAGGGCTTCGCACCCACTCGGTCATTTTCCCCGTCTCCCCTTCCTTAGCGTCGCTGCTTCCATAAGGATATAYTCCCTCGTTTAGGCAGTAAGTATCTCAGTACTCAATGATCTATATCTGTCTTCGTTCAGGTAATTGTTTTTCCGCCTCAGGGATAAATTCTCTTGAGCTCCAGAGTATGGTTACACCCTCGGATCAGTTCGAGTGCTTGTGGACAGGTTTGGTGCAGATCTTCACTACACATTAATAATCCTCAGCAAAATAAAAATGTCWTCTGCATCAAGTTGCAATTAGGAGTTAACAAACGGAAAATGCTCAGCTATTCCTTGTGCTCACTTTCTCCCTGTTGCTTAAATAACCGTGATTTTTTTTCTGTATGTGATAAGGTAATTTCTGCAACAACATAAAATCCATGTGTTGGTTTGTTTGTGTAAAATGGCTTCCTTTTCATCATTTTTATATTGGTTTGGCTAAATGTTGTGCCAGGATAGCTTTTAATCAGCACACGGTGATRTGTCCAGAAAAACTCCCTCAGCTTGTGTGAACTAGATCTAGATCTGGCACACTGGAGACCTCAGTGCTTAAGCCATTAAGAAGCAGAACAGGAGAGAGAAACAGCTGGAAATGTCACTGAGGGCTTATAGAGGGCTGTGAGTGCAGTTCTTGTCCAGTCCCGGAACAGGAGGTTGGAAGAACCAGACAACTGAAAGGAAATACCAGGGTGAGGGTGAGAGCTCGAGCCTGTTTTGTACTTAGAGAGAAGGATGAGAGTTTGAGAGCTGGTGCTGGGATTGTCACTGGGTAGATGGTCACTATGGGTTATTAGCCATTAAACACTGGTTATTAGGGGGTTTAAGGAACCAGGTGAGTGAGGGGGCAGCAAAAACCTTGTGGAAGGCATAAAGCAGCAGAGACTATCTGAAATTCATGTTTTAGTGGCTTGCTGCCAGGGCTAGAATATTGTCAAGGAGTTTAGGGAGTGGGTGGGATGCTAAAAAACRTCTTTCTTAGAAAAGGGGAGTGTCTTCATTATCCTGAAATCTGGAAAATCAGATATGCTGTTTTCTGTTTTCYCAAGGGAAGGACCAAGAGCAGTGGGGAGTTCTCTCTAGCATGCAAAGTGAAATCACTGTATAAGCTCTTAACTGACACTGCTAGAATGAACATATATCTAAACAGAACTTTTGATGTATTTACTAAAAAAAAAAAAATGTTTCAGAAGTATACTTTAACAGTTTAACAGATTCTTAATGCCTCATATTGCTTCACTTTCAAGGGTTAAATCAGTTGGAAAATGATGTTTCTTCTTATGAAAGGTGTCTCAGTCATGCTATAAAAATAATTCCAAAACAGAAAGCATCTTCTCATGATCGCATAGCTGTCTGGTAATTTGATCCTCTCTGTCCTCCCTTTTCTTTCACTTTTTCCAGCATAATTTTACTTTTGTTCTGAGATGAAAACTTGAAAATAACACRGAAATCACTAATGATAACAAACCCGGTGATGGAAGCTCTGAAGAGGGGAAACACCATCTGGGAGTGAAATGCCCCCTGTGGCCATGGCAGGCCCAGCTCACGATTCTGTATCTCAGAGAGCTGCTCTACCGTGTAACAATGACCAATACTCTACTTTTCCTTCTCTAGGACTGTTTCCTTTCCCAATTGTAACTTGATCTTTCAAAGATGTTGTTCTTTCTTCCTTCCCAGCCTTATTCTTGTACTTCTCATTGACATACAGAGACTATCCATAAACAAAACAAGTGCCTGAGAAATRCCTTTTCAACAAAGTGAGTGACAGTGTTCTCAGAGCTCATGGGACTGGAATAAAAAAATGACATTTAGCAAGAAGGAGATATTTTTGTCCTACAAAATTTGCCAGGATTTTCTAAATCTTGCTTTTCTGTTTGGGAACAGAACAGAAAGCTTTTAAAGTTTGTCATGAAAACTGAAGGCAGGCAAACAAGTGGCTCTGTCACGGTAGTCTGATGACTGGGGTCTTCATGCTGGGTGTGAGCGATCCAGGYTGGAGTAAGAGATGTGTCATTCCCTTGTGTCCTACGTGTTTTTGCCTGTCCCAGGGCAAGTCAGTCTCTTCCAGGAGCTGCTTTGCTTTGTCTGGTCACTGGGAAAGGTTCTTGAACCTGCTGAATGCCTTATTCACCAGATACTACTTTAAGTCAGTCAATACTGAACTATTTCTATGAAGTAGAATAGCTCCAAAATGCCTCCCTGTTTCCACATTGYTAGTACTTTGTATGCAGTTGAATCKGRCCTAGCTGCTCAATTCTACTTTTCACTAGACTTCCTGAGGCAGATTTCTACCTCTGCTTTTATGCCAGCACTCACTCAAGCTTATCCCATTCATAGTAAGCAAGTCTGGGCAGCTAAACTCGTGGAAAATGATTCATTTGTTTGGTARAATTAGCTTTGTGTGTTATGCCTCACTCCAGGGTGAGCTCAAAGTGAGTGCCAGCAGAGCAGAGGTGGCAGATGTGCAGATGGATGTCAGGACCATGGCAGTCCCACCTTGGATAATTTTTCACTGCTGTGAAACAGCAGGCTCAGGCCTGGAGAAGTTCCCACTCCACCTAATCTTAGCCATTAGGTAGGAGTTTGGAGGATGTCTTCTTTTTCTCTCACTGTAACAAGCAGCAATTTGATCAAGAGCCTAAAAAGCTTTCCCCCAGTTACCAAAATCAATACAAACTCATGGTGAGAAACCAGTTTTCTCACCAAGATCTCTTTAATTTATCCTMAAATTCCTTGTCTACTTGTAGGAGGAAAGAAAGAATCCGACTACTAGAACAACATGCATTAAAGCAACTGGTTAATAWTCCTCCCCCAACACTGCACAAGCAGGGGTGTGTGCCCTCTGCTGTTGCTGCTGACAGAAGACATGCAATGCACCAACAGAYAAAATCCAGTTTTGTTTCTGCAGCTCCTAGGGTCCCCAAGCATAAAGGCACTCGAAATGATCCTTGGTGACCACAATGTATTAACATGGAGCATGACCATCATTCAGCTCCCYGAGGACAAAGGGAAGGGGTTTTGAGCTTGCATATGTTCTGAAAAAAAGGGGTTTGTGTTGATGTACACTGTTTCCAGCTTCAATGTGCTGCTGCTGGAAAAGATTTTAAATATTAGCCAACCTGGTCCATGTTGTGTTAAAAATGTGATGATTGATGGAAGTTTATAATTAATTTATCCCAACTATCTCATTTCAGTTATGCTTGAGGGATGAATTCCCAATCTTAATTTGTATTTTCAGGCACTAGTAATCTTGAAAAATGAGTAATAATTTGAATTAAGATTTATTATGTGTATTTAAATTCAAAAGCCAATCCTTAGAATAAAGCTGTGCAAAGAACTTGTTTTTGAATGAAATTGAAATGTATTTTTTACATGTTCTCTCATAGCAATTTTTAGAAATTAGACCTCCTCTTCTGGAAACTAAAAAGAGAAGAGGCAGTCCAGCAGATCTTATTCATGAAAAATTCCCTAAGCCCTTCTAGTCAGTGGGAGTTTCACACCCAGAAAGGCCACAAGATGAGATAAGCACTTTTTTAATCTGAGCTAACCAAATTATTGAAAAGTGTGAAGTTACTAATAGATTTTAATAATGTTATACCTAGTCAAGGGTTTTTCATATCTTACTTTCATTCAGGTTACCTCTGTTTATGTGTGGTTTTTAATGGTGATTTTTGCGATCACTGTGTCTGGGCAATTTCTGTTCCTGATTTTTGATTTTTTAATGGTRTATTAGTGGAAAATCCCACCCATGGTATTTTTAAATCCTAAAAGTTAAGATTATATCTGTTCTCCTTTARCTCCTTAAGCTTTCATCAAAATATCTTAGTTATATCTACTGGGACTAGCAACCTTACCAATAATTAAAAATGTTCAGAAATTTAGTTTATTAGATCCTTACCTTTAAGTGCTTCTAACCTTTTGATGCTCATAATCATCAGGGTTACACTTTTATTTATTAACCACCACTGAGAGACAAGTTATTTTTTATATATTTAAAAAACCCTAACAATTTGTTAGACTTAGGAAAATATTATTGGATCTCTGTTAAAGGAAAACAGGAAACCTGTTATTATTCTCCTCTGAGAAACTTTGATTTCTGTTGATATGCTAGTTGAAATGTGGGGGTTGCCAGGGTTTTATCTTTTCCACATGCATGAAAATCCATAGAATTATGGCCCTTTTCCACTGTCCAGCTTACACACAAATTTTAGACTTAGATTTAACCATCTAAAATCCCTGAGCTCCTGCYCATGGAGAGAATGTGTGCCCTGCTGAGGGCTGAGAAAATAATTCYTGATATTGTACCTGCAAAAGCTGCCTGGTCCAGCTCTAGGCACTATGAATAAAGGCCATTATGGTAGTACCCTCAGTGATCCTTGTGCTGAATCCAGTTAGCATGATGAGAAAACTACTTGACTGAAAAACAGAAGGAGCAAGACTCAAGCAAGCATGGAGAGGAAGAGGTCTACCGCTGAACCAGAAGACTGCTGTGAAGGGAGGAACTCAGCTACAGCTAGATGCTTGAGGAAATGGTGAATTGGAAAAGACTGTAAAATTTGGCACTGGAGCTCGGAGGAGGGGTGAGATACTAAGACTGTATAAGGGGCCAAATGGTGAAGAGCCTGGACAAAAGAACACTGAGATATGAAGTGCAGAGGGGGAAGGAGAGAAGAATAATGTGTCTGGGAAATAGTAGACTGTGGAAATTGTGTGGGAATTACAAGTTGAAGCTGATAGAAAAGGAGTGAAACAAAGAGATTGATTGAGGACCTGGGGGTCAGGGCATGTCCAGATGAAGCAGATCAGATTGGGAGAACTGAAGGGCAAAGCCTAGACCTTGCACAGTAATGAAAATGTGAGTGGGCTGAAAAACCTGGCAAGAAGAGACTGGGTGGAATAGTTGGGCAGGTYGGGATTGGGATCTCCATTGGCTGTRTKCTGGAAGKATGCTTTCTTAGAATTSTGTATGTTACTGCTTGCTRTTTTGTGTGATCCTGTGAAACATTAATYTTGACAGTAATGACATTTTAATACCTACAGTGGCTATTTTTACTTAAAATGTATTMGTTTTTAAAATATTTCTCCCTGCAAATATGGTTGCTCKTAGACTTTTTAGGATCCAATTTGTACAAAAGAGGGATAGAAAAGTATTATTTATCTGTTTATCTATCTCTGAAAGAACAAGAAGTTGTTGTAGAGCAACAAAATTTAAATATTTGGTCAACAGGTGTTTGCACCAGCTACTCATGACTTCACCACTTGCAAATTGAATCACCATTGGCAGCATAAAGAAGAGGTAACTATAAGGAATGTATTACRTAAGTAGAAGGAAACTGCTCGAGTATGGTATAAGAACTTTTGCAATCCAGGTCCCAGACTCTCCTGAGATTTTTTTCTGGTACCTCTGGTTAAATCAGGCTATAAAAGCAGTGCCGTCTGCTGTCCAGGACTAAGAGTTCTGGGCTAGGGGATGCTAATGCAAACTCACATGAGCACCCTTCAGAGGGCTATGCTATTTCGCATGTGTACTGCTTCTCTCTAACACATGTGTTTGCATGAATTCAAACAAGTTAAATTCCYTCTTGCTGCTGGGGGTGTCTATTTGTATTCGTTGTTGTAGTACTTCGATTCTTGGAGCTCAGATCAAAAGCATTTTCAGATGACCCTTGTTTGTCCAAATTGGAGGTTTCATAAGCAGCATAAAGAAAAGTTTGCTTTGCACTGGTAGACCAATGACCTCCATGAGCTTTGCAAAGTGAAATTTCACACTGAGTGTCTCTTCCAATGTATCTTCTGTGACTGCTTTCTATGATATCTGCACTACTCCTGCCACACTGGAGCTGGAAGGACTGATCCCAGTGCAAAAAAGCAGCTTTTGTTGAGTTCAGTTCCTTCCGGGGCTTTGGCTCTGATTTCTCTGGAAAGCAGAAATTGCACTAGAAGCTCAGCACTGAGATTCTCAGGGCAAGTCAGCTGAGTTGYCTGGAAGTGGCTTGTCATTGTAGGGGTTTGGATCTTTGTACTATGTGCAAGACTGGGAGGGAGCCAYGGAATGTTGTGGAGAGTTCTAGAGTTCTTGGGGGGAGCTGGAGATTGTGTAAGAGAAAGGTCATGGTGAAAAAAATATAGTTTGAGCAAAGTTAGGCATAAAAAGTCTCTTAGGAAGTATCTTATGGATGGCCAGTGGCCATCCTGATTTTGGAACACCAGCAATAATGTTTGAGGACATTTTGTTTTCAGACATTGGCATTCTGAGATCAGTGAATTGCTCTGCTATTCTCAGGCCTTTGAGAGACACATAGATTCAAATAAAAGTCTGTATCCTATCTGAATGCAATGTAGATGACAATGTAGTTTTCCTGAGCTGTTTATTATATTCTTCAGCTGTGTTTACTTCCTGCCCTGAATTATGTAGCATGGCTATATGTGAGATGATATCCCTGCCTGTGAAGAACCCATTTGTGTCAGACCTGCTGGTTATCTTCATGCAAGGAGACTTGCATTGTGACTGCCCAGCCCAAATATTTATATGGTAGCTGTAGGATGCTTCTGAATGCGAAGAGATGTATCACTGCTGYCCCACTTGTCATCAGGATTGGCGTGATTCACTCCTGAGAATATCATGGACYTTCTGAGCCCTGGTCGAAGGTGCCTGTACTGTCCCTTCTGCAGAACTGCTAGCTTCAGCTTTCAGAAAAATGGTTAGCTGTCAGGTACCAGATTTATTCTTTTGAGGAGAGATTAAAGGCATTTCTTAAGACCAGCAATCATATTTTTAATGTCTTATCTGCATAATGACGTTTTTTTTTCCAAATAGAAGTGAGATAATAGTGATTACTGTAAACAAAGGCAAWTTTTTTAGGGTCTTGCAGGCTTTCCCAATGTAGATTTCTAGTGGTTCTCTTATAAATGACAGCTCATCTTTTGGAGAAGGAAAGAGGACATGGCTTGAATTTGAGCTGGATCTCTGCTCTCATTCTCTGTTAAATCTCTGTGCTTAGTTTCAAGAGACCATTGATGCCACTCAGAAACATTGCCTGCTTTTAGCAGACGCATGACTTGGAACCTGTACTGACCTGTCAAACTCTGCACCACAGCATCTTTGATAAAACTGACTCCCAGCACTGGCTCAATTGTTTCCAGCTCCAGGGAGAATGAGAATTTGCACATTTCAGAGCTGCCCAAGTGCTGATGTCAGGATGTTAGACTGACAGTGATGATTATGCCCCAAGGAGAGAAAGACAGATGGGTTTGACATCACAGCAGACTGTGGCTGTCTGGTTTCATATGCTCAGTTTATGGCCAAGGGAAAACCAATTTTAGCCAGGGCAATTGATTTATTTAAATCCAACTTGACATTTGGCTAAAATCATTCTATTGGAGCCCTCTCCATAAGGAAACATGCCATGCCTGGGAAGGTGCTCTGTATTACACCAACACAGCTGGTCTCAGTAATTAGGACCAGACAGTGCAGCAGGATGCATGGACCCTTAGGGGACAAGAGCTTACTGCTTCCAGCTTGATCTTCTKCAGTAGAAGCGGGGATTATCTCACAGCTGTACACACAAGGAGGTGAGTAGCTGGAGTAGCAGTTTGAGAGAATACCTCAGTTGTATTTGAAAATGTAGAAATAGATWGCTGCTCCTTTCTCTGGCTGTAGTGGCAAGAGAGTGGGGGTGAGGGCAGATTTATAGGATGTGTGTAAATTCCTGAGTTATGGGATCAGGGTCTTCTGCTGGACTTTGATTGTTGAGGGATTCAAGTCGAGAAGGGCTCTCTCACTGAAAGCCTCTGTTGCTTACCAGTTCTTCAAAGTAAACAGCAAACAAAAGGTCCAGATACTTTAGAAAACAKACTTGTAGCTACTTCTTTAGCTAAAAAATCCTTTTTTCCTTGTGGGGATATTTAACAGGCCTCAGGAGAGCCCTCTATGAAGGCCAAGAATGGGATCACCCTGATGTTGAGATGTTCCATAAGGAAATGCCCATAGGCTCTCCTTATTCTCAAGAAGGTGCTTAAACCAGTCTGCCCACTTTGTTGAACTGCTGGGTGATCCTGCATCACATTCCCCTTTTTTCCATCTTCCCCACTGTCTTCTTGTTCCCCCTTTTTCCTTCATTGTCTCCTCCAAACCCACACTGATAAGACTGTTTATACCACTATGCTAATACTATATATGTATGTCATTAAGACTGAAAGCAGCACCACAAATCAAGGTGAGAAAGCGTGGATCAGAGCTACAGCTTAGTCCAGCTGTCCTTCCCAAAAGGAGGATTCTTGCTCTGGCACCACTCTGACTGTAGTTCTCATTGAAGGCACAGGCAATACCCAGCATGGGAACCTCCTTACCTTTGGATCCATAGCTCATCTAATGTTGTTGGATCAGAGTTTGCTGGAGATGGTGATCCCGTATGAGGCAAAACATTCAGAGGCTCTTTGATGGGCTCATTGTTTTTAAGTGCACCTGTGATATAAGAGAAAGCCAAGAGGGTGTTAAAACAGCAATTTTCTTAATTTACCTTTACTGTAGGTAGTGGTTTGCTTACAGCAAAGCAACAGGAAGACCATAGACAAAAAGGTGGTTGCATTTTRGCTTTGATTTTCAAACAGTGTCTAACTGTCATCAGCTTGCATAGTGCAAATGCAGCTGAGAAAAGGTGAGGTTAGATATAAGGTATCAGTTCTCATGTACCTGAGTAGCATGCTCACCACTGCATTCTGGGTCCTGAAGAGTGATTTTCAGTGCTATTCTTTAAGCAGAAAAGGTGTAGCTGTGTGTGCCTGTGCATGCCAATATTTGTTTTCCAGAGTTAAGGCTTCATTACTGATCTGCTTTTAGGTATACAGTAGATGTTCAATTTACTGGATAAATCAAAGTTAGATTTGGGTGAGATAGGAGCTTTGCTTTTAATTGCTTCTCCAATTTCCCTCAGATGAATCACTGTCCCTTTGACAGGGAGTCAAAGTTGTATTAATTCCAAGGCTTACTACTGCAGTAGCTGGCAGAAGATGCACCTCACTTTTCAAATTAAATCTCCCATTGTTTGAGGCTTGTTGATAAATGACCATGCTATTTTTTATCAGAAATATTTTGATCTAAGTTGTAACACTGTTTGTCTTTCAAACTGATGATAGCACACTCAGGTCAGTGCTCCGACTGAAGAAGGCTTCTGATGTACCTTAATCACTTTTCAGAGGGAAAGGGAGATATCCGGAGTTTTAAAATCTCCTAAAATAGTGTCAAAACAGTAGTCTGGGTTATTCACTTTGAATGATTTAAACACTTTATCCTGATGTCAAAAGAGATTGGTTAAAAAAGACCCTCAAGAATTCTTTCTCCAGTTAAAGAAAAGCATCTGTTATGTTTTACAGCTCCTAGGCTATGAGCCAAAGTTGGGCTGGTGCAAAGGGCTCCTGTATGGAAGACTTTCCTCAGCTGGATTTAGATAATTTTAAATTGTTTTTTTGTTATCTCATTTCTTGAGTCTTTATTTTTCTCATTTTGTATCCTATTCTGTCTTTTCTGTCTCTTCCTGTCTTCTTGCCTGCCCCTCTCCTCCCCTCCAGTTATTCCTTACGCAAAATGAGACTAGGTTAATATTTGAGCTTGAGTCACACTCTTGGATAACTGCTGTTCAAATGGGTTGGAAGGCAATATAAAATAGCTCACCCATCCCTTTCTTCCATGCATGTCAGCAAATGCTGTCAGAAATTTCTGCTACAAATGAGGCTGGTGTAGAAGCACCCAGTTTCAGGGAGAGGGAATTGATTCATAGAAGTAAAGAGAGGGAGAGAGCAGAAAAGCTGCTTACACAATCCTAGCTGAATTTAAAGGCCATAGCCCAGAGGAGGACTTGCTATAGTCACACTGGAGAAAGAGCTATTGCTCCTAGCCCAGGTCTTGTAGTGCAGTCTGGAGAAAAGACACATTCCCCGTGTGTCTTGCTGAACAATGGCAGGCATGGAAGAAAAAGCCCTGTTTGCAACCAATCGTGTTCCCGTAGTGATAATACAGGGAGGGGAGGGGGAGAGCAGCACAGGTCAGCCTCATGGATATTTTATTGAGTGAGTAACAGAGAAGACCTTCTCTAGGCTTGTCCTTCCCTTAGCTTGTCCTTCCTGGGTGATGTTTGCCAGACAAAAGAGCTGTCCTCCTGTGCCGATGTCCTGATGCCATGACATTGCAGGTGTCTGAAGAAGGTGTGTCCTTCTGTGCTGGTGCTGCTGCACTGGCAGCTGCAGGTTGCAGGGGTAAGGACGTTCTCGATGGCTGCATGGATGCTGTGACARTGTAGGGAGCAGGAGGGAGGGCAGGTTTGTGCTGTGCTTGCTCTGCAAATGTGCTCTGGGGAGGCAGAGCGAGGATGGCTCTGCTCTGGTCCTGTCTGCCCCGCCAGCAGGGTGAAGAGCAGCTCTGCTCTGGCATAGGAGACACTCAGTTTATCCACAAACCTCACTGCAACAGTAGCAGAATATTGAACAGGAGCTCTTGGCTGCTCTCTGCTTGGAAACTTGAAGAAAGGAGGGAATTTTCCTTCTGTTCGTGCTGCAGTGTTGAACGAGTCTTTATAGTGCTGAAATATGTAGTATTGGAAATTGGCGAGGCAGGCCCAAAACACCTATATCCTGGGGATTGGAGGTGGAGGATGTCTGTTCTTTGTTTTCTTAAGGAATATGATCTACTTTCTACATATTAAAGCAATAGCTTTCATTGGCTTGCACAGCAGTGGAACATCAGCAGTGATGTATAATTTTGATTCATACAGCTATCCAAAGCTCAGAGTCCAGTACATTGATTCTGTTAGATTATAACCTGAAGACAGGATAGGTAACTTTGCTGTTAGTTGCTCCTCTGCTGAAGAAGTTATAAAAGTCAGTTTTTCTGAGCACCTGGGAGATAGAAGCAAAGGGTGTTTTCTATGTTTCCAATACCAGATCTCTCTCATTTAGCACCTAGATTAAAACTACTTCAATTTCCTTCATGCAGACCTGTTTCCCATGCTTCTGTGTTGCAGTAGCTCCTTTCCTGGCTTCTCTTAATTTCTCCTATCTTTCTCTTTCTTCTTTCACAGATAGCTGCTCACACAAGGTTCCAGCTCCATGACAGCCTGGCCTTGCCATCGTGCTCTGTGTTGTTCATACTCASGGAAAGCCAACTCACTCATTTTCTAATGAAGCCACAGCTGAATACATGGATGTTCTGGATAGTGCTGCTGTAATTTCAACCTCCTTGTTCAAAGGCAGACTAGGTGTTTCTTACAGCTTTCTTCAGTGCAAATGGGCAGTAACTACCACTTTCAGAGAAGACTTGTTTCTTTCTTGTAAGGGTCCATTGAAATTTTCTCTGTTTTTACTATTTTCTGTACTTTTGAATATGTCCTTTCTGTATGCTAAAGAAGTCCCTACTTCATTGACAGCTTTATGTCTTTCTCTAAGTTGTTTTTCTCTTACTGAACAGAGGAGTGGTAGTGCAGAGTCCCACATACGTTTAGATTCTCTGTCATGAAGTTTCTTTAAACATCCAACAATTTTACATTTCCAAGCGGAGCACGGAAGGATGGCACTTCTCTGCCAGTTGTGCCATAGGGCAGGGATCTTCTGTTATATGCTGACTGCTTAGCTGCTTTCTATCTTTCCTGTCCTTTTCCTATTCTCAATGACTCCTCTAGTTCCTAATCTCATTGGAAAAGGAAGCATAATGTTGTTTGGGTCAGTACTCACCTGTAGAATGCCCCATGTGTATTGAGTCTCTCGAAGTCTTTCTTTTCCCTCTGTTTGGCAGCCTTATGGATCGGTAGTACCTGGAATTTCTTTGAATGGCAATGTGATGTGCTTGCAAGTCCCCCTCGTGGGTCACTGGGTTAGTACCGGCTGATTCTTCCTCACCTTCAGAGACTGAACCTGACTCTCTTAGCACCTGCTGAGAGCCCTGATGGAGCCCACTGGTGGTGAGCCTGTGGGTGGCTTCTCTCCTGTGCTCATCCATGGCTTCCAGAGCTTGTCTCTATGGCAACTGAAATGGCAGATCAGCAGCAGTGCAGCAGAAGACAGGTAGCCTCCACAACTCCATCAGCTTTATCTGAATCTGAGCTGGAGACAGACAAAACAGAACGTGAGAGGAGACAACAAAGTTCTGGTTAGTTCAGGAGCCACAGTCCACCATCTGTTTAGGGTAATGGGCATGGTACGGGATGCTTTATCAGAGATCATTCTGAGATCATCATCTCACAAGCTTTATTCTAATGTCCTGAACATTGCTTTGACACGCTCATGATTGTAATTCCATGGCATATGTCAGATATTACTAGAAAAAATGTTTTATTTTCTCAGTTGACACTCACTCCCTTTTGTCATTTTTGAGCAGTAGATTACTGCTTGGTTTAGAGTGTATAACAGGTAGTGGCTGTGACCTTTTAGAAGATGATGAAAATATTATGGAACAGAAAGTAAAAGCAGAAGAGAAAGCTCTGTAAATCTGTCTATCATTTGTGTATTTCTCCATGTAATAGAAGAATTAATGCCTTTTAAAGGTCTGGGTCCCTTCTAATACTTGTCAACAGCACTTACTCCTGCTGTGCAGCTAAGTGAAGGAAAATCCATAGCTGTCAAGAAATGAATGCAAAAGAGACAAGATTATGTGATGCAGGGGCTTGATTTGGTTTGCTGCCCTCAAGTGCCAGTGTAGCTCCTCCAGTGACACAAGGACTTTAGCACAAGGATCCTTTGCTCTGTGTGTCAGTACATGGACTATGCCAGGACTCCCCTGCATTTTTACGAGGCATATCACTGCAACCACAAAACATCAGTTGATCCTTCAGCCTTTGCAGTACTGGCTAAATGCGAGAGGATTACTTAAACATTCACTGCTTCTTTGCTGAATTCTTAGAGCTGTCAAAGTCTTTCTGAGTATATAMTATGATTTTGTGGCTGATGGGGCTGTCATGAGTACTAGAAAGAGATGCTGTATAGGAAATGTGAATATAAAATTGACAGCTGGCTGAAAGAAGGGCATAAAACTGTGGATTAGTCGTTAGATGCTGTTTTAAGGAGTCACATGTATCAGTGGTTTGTTACATTACAGTATATCCAAGACACGAGAGTTTAGAAAGTGTTTCAATTATTTTTCTGGGTCTTCTGCAATCTCTAAGAACACACGTGTTCCACAAACACTTCCCATGCTTGCCCCCAGGATCGCTCTGGCTGAGCCTGGGACATCAGGGACAGTTGGGAATCATCTGTGAATCCTCTGCTTTCCAATATTTTTGAMGGCCCTATGATTTATCCTTATAAAGGGGGTGTGGGGGGAGGGTGGGTGCCACTCTCTGAAATCATGCACTGTAGAGCTCCTGGCTCTTCAGAGGAGAAAGTTTGCTTTCTTCTTTCATAGCCTGAACCACAGCATGCAGACCTAAATTTGGATYCTGGCTTCAGTTCTGCTTTTTGGACTGTTTGAAAGTATGGTGGTTGCTCTGGGACAGTTTCCAGTGTTAATGGAAGTGTATGAAGGACCCACTTGTTGCTGGTGGTGTTAAGTTTGGTTTGTAAACTGTTCCAAGGTACAGAGATTCACTAAGCCTGTTTCTTTTTCTGTGGGTGTGTAGAAAAATGGAATGAAAACAGCTGCTGGAGACAGCTTGGAAAAAAAGAAGAGGCTATTTCTTTTCCTGTGTCTTTCTTTCTGTCCTGAGACTAGACCCCGCAAAGGCTTGATCCTTGCAATTGTGATGAAAGTATGTCTTCTAACTGAACCACAGTTAATATCACAATTGTAATCCTGCTTAACTCCAAGCTCTAACAGTTACTATTTTTTATGTATTTCTCTTCTACAGATTGTTTTATATCTTGACACTTGAGGAGAGGAACCTGTAACAACCTCCCCTACATCAAAGTTGTCCATGTGGCTCAGATTAGGGCCTCTCTGTCTCATGACATTTACAATGCTGACATAGTTTACAATGCTTTGTGAATTGCTGCTGGTGTTTTGTTTTTTTTTTTTTTTTTTAATGGTTAAAGTTTTCACAGAAGATGCTCACCAGTCATGACTAGTTTCAAAACCATGCAAATGCCCAAAGGGATCATTAGGCAAAAAGATGCATATGTGTGCATGGAGAAGACTGTTTACCCCTTTCACCCACCTATATGGGGGTAATATGAGAGAATATGGATGTTGTTGTTGGGCTTTTAACAAAGATACTTGGAAGAGAAGGAGCCCTCTGCATGGCCAAGTGACACTCAGCTGGGTTGCCCAAAGATGTAACTATGGGTTCAGTGGACCTGGCAAACCTGTGTGGTCATCTTTCTAGATACTCGGTCTTTGGGTCATCAGAGGAGTGAAGGTGTCTGTCCTGAAAAATTAACTTACTTCCAGGATATCAAACAGTCTATAGTGAACAAGATCCTTGACCAGAATTGAACATAGTAATGGATGAGAGACAGACTTCCATGTTTTCTAGGAGACACAGAGRGGGCGCTTGTTTAGAGTGGTGGTTATAAACAATAAATACTGTTTTTTAATGTCTTCAATGTTCAAGAACAGAATGTATTTCTGAAGTTAATGCTTCTGGTTTCAAAATCGATACACTCAGAAATTCTTGCGAAACCATTTACTGATGTGTCAATCAAATAATCCTGTCTTTTCCAGTTGTTCAGGTGCATTTAAAAACTGTTTAAATTAAAAAACTGTTTAACTGTTAAAAGTCTGTTTAAAGGATGTGTTCAAATTTAGTCTTACATTCTTCTGGTAGCAGTCAAACTATTCAATGACAAGACTCAATGACTCTATTCAATGACTCAAGCAGGTGTGGACCTTAACTATTCCTGTCTGGGTGTAGTGAATTTTTGAAGAAGGTATTCATCTCTGATAGTCACAAGGAGGTGATTGCCAGGTCTTTCATCAGAAGTAACCCCTCCCAAGTATATTCCCATGCCACCTTGGGTTCACATGGCTTGCATCACCACCCGCTTGATTGTTTTTGCAGGCAAACATATTTCCTGGAGCTCCTGGAGATCAAAGTAGCACTTTGTAGGGAAAAGGGAAGGATGACAACAGTGAAACTAGCAAGTTATGCACATACAGCAACACTAGAAATGTGCATTTTGACTCGCACATAATCCAGCCTCCAGGAATTTGACTGTATAGAAATTTTACTTGCCTATGTAAAAAAGTGACATTTACCAGCAAATGTCATGAATTTGTATAAGAACAGCTGAACTCAGGGGTGTTGGGTAAGATGCTAAAAAAAGCTGTAAAAGTGACTGAGATTCCTAGAGCAGTATGGAGCTGGACACATGGATGTGTGTAGGAAACAGGGACCGCTGCTGCCTCTGCAGGGGTGGCACTGGATATGTTTTCAAAGCATGGGCTGGCATGGGCTGGCTGACTATTGCATAAAGAGAGTGGACTTAGAGGGATTTGAAGTATATTGGGTGTATCAAAGATGTCTTAGGTGTAACTTCCGTTAATTAGCTTGAGCAAATTAAAGATAAGCATGTTTTTTTGTAGCAGAAGCTGAGATTGCAGCTGTGCAGACCTGCAGGTATTTCAAATGGATTTATTCTGGGCAGTTTGATGTGGGAGTCTGGAGCAGGAGGTACATTCTGGAACCAGCAGAGCATCTCTCCCTCATCCCACGACGTGTGAGGCAGGCGCAGCTGARCGAATCATGGCAGAGGCAGATTGTGTGGTCTGTCAGTGGTGGCAGCCCTGGTGGGCACTGGTAGCAGAGGGAGCTGCTGGGGGCTGGCAGCCCCAGAAAGCCAGGCTGGCTACCTCAGCTGTGGCTGTGACAGCAGGGGTGTAAGYGATGTCTGAACTGCTGGAAAGAGCCATCTCCTTCCCAGCCAAGCCTGCTGCTGCACACTTTGAGCCCTCTCTCAGCGCTAGTTTTCTACAGCTCCAGCACAGCAGAGCAGGCAGCTGGATCATGGATGCTTTGCATCCCTGGTAATTTGCTGCCCTGGATAATGTACTATTTTGGTGTGCCTGGTGCTGGCTGTGGTCTGACAGCTTGTGTCTCTGGGAGGATTTTTTCTGCACCCTCTCTTCTACTGCCACAAGGCAATCATTAGTGTGGGACTTGGCTCCCTTGCTCTCACCCTTCCCTGTGATGGAAGAGGTGAGGCAGGATGAGACTAGTGGCTCTGCTTCCTGGTGAATCCAGTCCTTCATTATATTCCTAATTCCTCTTTAAAGTGGGGACATTCAGTATTGGCTTACTGAAAAGAGTTCAGTACTGTAATAAGGAAGTTAGCACAAGGATTTTGAGATGAAAACTTCTCAGTTTGCTGATATTATACAATGCTGTTGCCCAGACTGGGAGAATAATAAAGATTTCTTAATTAATGCTAGAGACAGATTGTAATCTCCAACTTTGCATCTCAGGGATGTTTCAAAGCAGGAAACAACAGATATGAATACAACTTGACTAAATGGTTGGCCTATCTAGGGACATACAGCCACTGAAGAAGAATTGCCCTTGTTTAACTGTATAATATGTCCCAACCACCGCCAGGAATAAAGATAACAGTATTGATGCGGCCAATCTGAGTGGCCACTCAAAGTATGCAGGTGGGTGCTCTCAGCACACAGGACAATGAACTCTTACTCTGAGTTACCCAGTGGTGTGTTAGTTTTGACGTCAGCTCAAAGGCATCCATGGCTGGATGCCTTTTTAAATTATGTCTGTCTCCACAGAAAGTTTTGAGGCTCAATGCTGAAATCACTGTCTTGGTTGTAGTGTGTTTGTGCTGTAGAAAGGCAGAAGATCTTATACTATTTTCTTCCTTTTTATGTGTTGAATTTGTTTCAAGTATAAAAGCCCTATTAGTGACTCATCTGGAAGGTTTTGCATTCTGAATGTAGGGATGCACCGTTCATGTATATTTGATGACACAGATAGAGCTCTTTTAGGACAATATTTTGACTTCGAGCTTTAATAAATAACATGGCTCCTTTAATATTTCTACTTTAAATACAGTCTAAATGTACATACAAATGACAATTTAGCTGCATCTTACTGGTTTGCTTTTAAAATGCTTTTCTTAAAGCCTTGTGCATACCAAAACCAAAYCCCTGTCTCCCACCACCAGTC